TTTTCGTTGAGATTTGGTCGCTCCTCCTCCCGCTGATCTGCCGGCAATAGTGGCTAAAACACCTGCCGCGTTGTTAGGTAGTCCATCGCGGTGTTGCCCCGCGACTTGTCGCCTGTTTCTTGGTGGAGTTCTGTGACGTCTGTCAGTTGAAGCTGCTATGTCCTCTCTTCGGTCATTGTTGCGAGTACGGTTATAATTTTTCCTAGGGCGTGCCCTTTGTTTATTGCAGTCGTGATCAGGGCTTCTATCGTGCCTTCGCTGCGTCTTATATTCCCTGCAGCTGGAAATAAATTCCTGGAGCTTTCCTTCTCTTATGAGTGCCTCAATGGTATTTCTGAGCGCTAGACATTCGTCGATGGTGTGACCTTTGTCGTTGTGGAATTCGCAAAATTTGGATTCATCGCGCTGAACTCCTTTTGGCATTGGAGGAGGTCTGTTAACCCGGACATACCCTGTTTGGAATACTTCCTTAAAAATTCGCTTGGGAGATGCGTTCAAGGGGGTGTAGTTGTCGTATTTTCCCCCACTTTCTCTTTTCGCGAAATTTGCGTTGAAAATTCTTCTGGACATCTCTTTCGAAGTTGTCCGTGTTGGCCCTGGTGTTGGAGATTTCTCGTGATAGCCTATAATCCTCCAGGTTGATGAATTTCTCTGAACGCGCACGCAATTCCACTATGGTGCGAGGTCGCTGTTTGGCCAGCGACATAGAAAAAGGGCCTTCCACAAGTCCTTCAGTGATAATGTGTAGTCAGACTTGTGGATCTAAATCTCTGACCAAAAGCGCTTCATCAAAGAATCTGTTTTGATAATCGCGCAGAGTTTCATTTAATTCCTGTCGAACCGTTTTTAGTGCGTGAGTGGATTTGTATTGTGCTTTACTCGCTGCGAGCCGTACGAGAAACTGGTTGGTTATGTCTTCCCAACTTTGTACCGAATTAGGTGGTAGCGCTGAGTACCATCTAAGGGTTGTCTCCTTGAGAGTTGTAGGAAATAGTCGGCAAGCAATTGGATCCGCGACATCTTGTGCCATCATGTTTGTCTGGAATTGTTCCAGATGCTCTTGAGGATCCCTCTTGCCGTTATATTTTTTTGTTGTAATCTTGACATCCCGAGGAATTGGGATGTTCATTATGCAGGGGACGAAGGGGTGAATAATTCGAGAAAAGGTCCTTAAGTTACCATTAGAATTCTTGTTCTCATGAGTATCTTTGATTTCTTCACCTTTCTTATTTTTGTGACCGGAAGGTCCTGGATTCCCAGTAGAGTGCGAATGAGGTGGCTCACTCTCCTCAGAATTTTCGGGAGCTGTTTCTTTCTCAGGATTTTTTTTTTGTTTTCCCTTTTCTTGGGTTTTTTCTTTGCTCTTTTGAGCTTTTTTCAATCGAGCCAAATCTCGATTCTGCTAGGCGATTTTCTTGTTCTGTAGTGTGATGAGGTCCAACAGATGTTGGGGTGTCGGTGGGTCATCCAGGTGGATGGGAATTGTGCCACCGATGAAGCTGATTTTTCACGGGAAGCAGGGATCTCCTTCCGCTTTCCTTTAGAGCCATTCTGGGATTTACTACGAGTGTCAACCATGTTTTTAGAGAAAGGTGGGTAAAAAAAAATCCCACAGACGACGCCAATGATCAGACCAAATACGGTATGGGTGGCCCAATACGTATTAAGCCCAAATCATACACGGTTGGACTCCTTCGGTAGTTTCAGGTCTGGGCCTGGTATTGCAGTTGGGGTGAACCTGAGCTCTCTGTCCTTTGTCCTTCTCGTTGCACCAAATGAGGGGGTACCTGCGAAGACACTCCGATGCTTAAGTCAGTATCAGAGGCAAGTGTTTATGTTGTGAAAGTAAAGGATGATCGTACCTTGGTGGTATATCGTATGTTTATATAGTGACTGGGATGCCGCCTTAGTTAAGGCGGCTTGGCTTCTGAGTGGCCAGCCTTGGGCTGTAGGTTGTTTAGGGGACCTGTGTAGCCTTATCTTCCAGAGGGTCTAGTAGTAGATTTGAGGCAAGCTGGAGCTGTTTGTTGTTTACTGGAGCTAAGGCGCGGTGGAGTTACCTTGAGCCTTACGTTTACTTCCCTTAGAAGATTTCATGTGCAATACAAGAATCGAGTCTTGTGTGCCGCGATGAGACCATCGCGACCTGTACGTCGCGATGGGGGACATCGCGTCTGGAACGTCGCGATGGGGGACATCACGTTTGAAACGCCGCGATGTAGGCATCGCGCCAATGCTTGTTCCTTGTGCTTCGGAGGGGCTTGGGCTTTCCTTATGGGGGCCATGATTAGGCCTATATTTTATCCGAATCACACATCAAACAAAATTCAACCCCATCTTTCTAGGAAAAATTTTATGTATAATAACCTCACAAAATCCTCCTTTTGCCAATCATTCATTAATGGCATACTTTCATCTCCTATCCCGTCAGTTAAATCATTGCTCATACCCTAAGTAGCACAATCGACATGGGACACGTGACACAATACGATACGACACTCCAACACGTTAATTCTAAAAAATATTAGATTTCGACACGTTAGGACACGTTTTGATATTAAATAATATTTTTAATTTATGTAATATATATTATATTTAATATTCAATAATTTAACAAAAAAATGAATTTAAACTTATAATATTCATAAATTTTGCAAAGAAACATAAGTTATCCCAAATATTTATATTAAACTCAATAAAAAGATAATTTCAATCCAATGAATCTAATAATTGGAACTAAAAACTCAACGCAACGCAACTTTTGAACCTTTTTTTGAAATTTTATAACATGTGTTGGAGTGTCTGAGAGTGTCGGAATGTCTGAGAGTGTTGGGAAGTGTCAGACATGACATGTCAGGGTTTTTGAAGTGTCGGTGCTTCATAACTCATACCATCTCATATTGAATGGGTAATCTAAAAGATTTTTTATATTTTTAAAAGAAACATATTACTACCGGAGAAAGTATTTCCGGGAGAACATAGTTGAGGTTATAAGAGTTATAAACAAAAAAAAGTTATAAACGTAACCTGCCCCTATTACTATTATTAAATTTCTAAAGTCTCCTCTCTCGTTTTTTGAAAAGATTCTCTCGGGTAATCTCATAATTCAGACTTTTTGAGCCATTTATGAATTTATTTAGAGTTTGAGGTGAGTCGAGGATTAAAATTTTAAATTTTTTTCTCAAAATAATATTAGTAAAGATCGAATCGAGGTTCTTCCTCAAGCTCCATTGCACTTATTGAACTACTATAGTTGGATAAAAGTCTCGTTTCTTAATCTTTATGATCAATTTTCCGAAACATAACCACTAATCAGGAGGCAATTTAAATTATTAAGTTTAACAAAAAATTAATTAGAATTTTGAGAAAGTATTGTATCACATGGTGATGAAATAAGAAAATTTGATTAGGTCGTCGTTATACATAGAATTTTCTCAAGAAATTTGAAAGTATATAGGTTGATTGAAGTTTTGTTTGCAGAAGATACACTGTATTAATTTCAGGTTTAATGCTTCATCTTTTTCTTATTTTACTTTTACTTCTTCTTTTTTTCACTCTAGTGGGTATTTTGGGTTGGTGAGTATATTTTTTACTTTAAGGGGACATTTGGTATGAGAGATATTTTTTTTTACCGGGAAAAAAAGTTTCAGAGAATGTGATGGGATCTTTTTTATTTCAGGTAAGTTACAAAAAGGTATTTGGTAGCCAAAATTTTTGTCGAGAATGTTGATTTATTTTTATAATGCTATGTTTGGTTGATTGTGAAATATATGTGGGAATGTGGAATTATATTACAAAATTACCTATCGTGTTTGAAAATTTGTTTTCAACATTCTTTTTATAACAGGGTGTCTCCGTTTTATTAAATAAAGATTTTTTTTTTTTTTTTTGGAAATATAAAGATTTTTATTAAACAAGATAACACATCTATTCAAAGTATTTCTGTCACAAATTTTAGAAACAAGATTCTTCGTCGATAGGATAAAAAAAATAACACAATTTGAATGGTATTTTTTTTTCGCCAATATCCAGTTGAAAATATAATTCTTGGAAACATTTTATACCAATATTTTTTAACTTATCTCATATCAAACATGATAAACATTTTTCCCTCACCCCATTTTCCCAAAGATTCTATTAAAATCTTCATACCAAACGCCCCCACTAGTGAAAGTTATTATTTCATGCCTCATTAGTAAATATATTTCATGGGCATATCAAGAAATTGTTTTCAAAATTGAACTTCATTGATCATTGTGTTAAGGGAAAAATGTTTATCCTTTTAAATGACACAACTTATATCTTTTTACTCTTACAAAAAGGTGGAACCCACACCTTTATTTTTTTTTGTTAACTCTCTCTCCTCTTCTATCTATCTCTTTCTTTTTCTTAAAATAACACAATTTTATATCTTTTAAAATGAGAGACACTTTACCCTTATGCTAAAGACTGAAATCTCATGCCTGATTTTAATATAATCATGTTAGGTAAAAAATCTCATTCATTTATTAACAGATTAATTATAATCATTAAAATGATCATTTCTTTCTTTTTCATTTAAAAATGATTCCATAGACATGCTTTGTCATTAATGCTATGAAAATTGATCAGTAAATAAATTGTTGAAATTTCTTATATAACGTGATTATTATGTGAAAATGAAACATGAAAGGATCCATTTCACAAAGAGTAAGAGGTATTTCTTTAAGAAGGAAACAAAAAATTTAAAATTTTGAAGCATCTTTTTTATTTGTTTATTTATAATTTTAACATTTTGAATTCACGCGGTTAGTATGTGAGTCAGGCACAGTAATTAAGGAAACTCAAAAGAGAAAAAGCTGCAAACAATTTATTACACACACATTATTTTATTTCTTTTTTTATATTATTTATAAAAATAAAAAATATGATGACGTGGAGATCTCTCCACCGTCCCTTTTTCCTATTTTATGAGATGCCATTTTTTCGTTTTCTGCTTGTGCTTCCTTTCTTTACTTTCTCTCTCTTCGATTGTCTGTGTGCTCTGTTATTAGAACTCTCTTTCTCTCTCTTCCATTCGTTCAGTAGCATCCCTTTAAATAGAGGTTCTCTATTCAGAACCAAATCTTCCAACCAAAATAGATTATCTTTTTAAGAATATCCACACCGTTTTTCTCGCTGGTTTTCTTTCTATTTTCCTGTTGTTCTTACACCAACTCCATTTTTTTTTGTGATTTTTTTTTTTTTCACAACCCAGAAATCTAGAGGCAAGAATCCGCAAAAATAATCCATACCCAGAATTTTTTTTCTGAAATATCTTGTGGGGTTTATCTAATTTTTATTTTTTTATAAATTTTTCTTTCCTTTTAGTCTTGAAGTTAATAGATACACAAAGCTGAATATATAATTCATATAAAGCTGTAGTTTTTGTGTGTGTCGAAGCATCTGTATTTTGCTGTATCGAAAGAGTTTTGAGGATTTTTTTGTTGAAGTTCTATTTTGCTGAGAGTTTCTTGTTCTAAGTGCTACTCCCATGGCTGCTCAATTGCAAAAACGTATTCCCTCATCTTTTCTACTCAGTTCTTTTGTTTTCTGGGAATTGCATGTGGTTTAGATTTATTTTTCCTTTCATTTTGATTATGATGTACAAAGTAGAATGAAAAGATTGAAAAAAAGGAGAGTTTTTTACCGGGTTGAATTTTCTGTTTTTGACAGCTGCGGATGAAATGAGTAGGAAGAAGCTTCATGGTGATTCTTCAACGGCTGAACTCAATAATTCCAATATGGTGATTCCCATATCACCCCCATTTTTTTTTTTTTTTCTGTGCTTTAATTTGAAATGAACTGTTTCATTGATTGTGTATGAGACTCGGAGAATCACATGTTTTCTTATGCATCTGTATTTGTTCAGGTTCCTTCTAAGGGTGCAAGTTCTCCATCTGATGCAAGATCATGTGTATCATCAATAGGAGATGCATCTGGTAGTGTTAAAGAAGGGGATCTGGATCATGAGTACATATCCACAGATCAGGGTTTTTCTTATCCTGCTGGTGGTTATTATGGATACTACTATCCAGGTTAGCTGCTATTGGTTAAAGACCTTCCCTCCGCTGGTTCTCTTTTCATTTCAATTGATTGTAAATTTATGTTTTCATTTCTTACGGTAGAATGATCACAGGTTATGGTGGTTTCTTTGGAGAGCCAGAAAGCCAAGGATACTATGTTGGTGCTGATGCCGTGGATCTTCAGTATCCTGTAAGTCTCTTAGGCTGATTCGTTGTTGGTCATGTTGTTGCTCTTTATTGTTGAGTCTTTCTATGAGGTTTAGTGCTTACATATCTGGTCAATTCAGGTTATGCATGTGATGCCTGTTTGTTAGGCAAGGTAAGAGAAGGAAAAAAACCCAGATGATGGTTATGTTCATTCCTCTTTCTATATAGTCTCCAACAATCATATTCTTGAGAAAGGGTGGAATGGGAATAAATAAATAAATAAATAATAATGTATAATGTACTTATTGGCAACTTGTTTTGATTTGATTTAATTTCCTTTTTCTTGTTTTGGGTGCATTTTATATTCAAGATCAAGATTAGGGAGGGGTAAAACGTTTGTGGTATTCTGCTTGAATGTAACCAAGTAATTTGTTTCTTTTTTCGTATATTATCAAACATGGAAATGATCAATATTTTAACTAATATTTATGTGACATCTTCTAAACAACTCGATTTGGATTCAGGGCAAATTTGGCTAGAGAATGTTGTTTCCTGAAATGATAGGAATGTACTATGTAGCTTTTTTTTCCTTCTTAGTTTTAGATCATGCAAACAGTTAATTGGTCTTTTTTATGATCCCCTATATATAATAAATGTCTCAATACAATTTTTTTTCTTTCTTTTTGTTGCTTTTATTTAGGTCATGCAAGCAGATAATGGATCTTATGTCTATCTCATGCCAGGATTTCAGACTGGCTACCCTTCATACTTTCCTTTGAGTCCAGCTGGTATTGAGGGACAGTTTGTTGGCCATCATATGTACACTCCTGGTTCCATCTTTCAACAACCCGTTGGATCACCTGGTTATTATTCAGCTTCTATACCTTATGGGGAGTTACTGCCATCAACATACTCATGGGATTCACACCTAACTTCACAAGATGGATCACAGGGCAATGGTTATCATGAATTGGCTGGTAAACCAAATGGTAGGTCTAACTTGTCTTCCCAGAATCATTCTGGAGGTATTGTGCCAAAGTCTGTTCCCCCTCCTAACTTGAGCAACACATCAGAAGTGAAGGGTTCCATGCCATTACTAGATGTGTCATCAACTCATGCTAAGCGTAACCATCCAAAACAAACAAACAAGGTAAAATTACTTCCGAATTTCTCTTCCTTTTGGCTTATCTATCATCCTTAGATTATTCTAATGAGCTTGTAATGTTTTTCTCAGGCACCCGTTTGTGGCTCAGTCCTGCATTCGGATGCAATGGCAAAGGGTTGCATGCCTATCACCAAGTTTCCCACATACAATCAAGGAAAGAGTGGATTCCTCTATCCAAACAACTTGCTTAATGGGAAAGGAAATACAAAGGGATGGGTTAGTACTGAAAAGTTGAAAATGAGAGGCAAGGTTAATGATTCATTTCATGAGCAGAATCAGGGTCCTAGAACAGCTAATGCAAAAGTTGCATTAATGTCTGGAGGTAATTCTGCAAGAACCTTGGCCGTAGATGGGAGCGGAAATGTTAACAGCAAAATCAGGACAGATCAATATAATCTTCCTGATTTTCCAACTAAATATGATCATGCACTTTTCTTTGTCATCAAATCATACAGTGAAGATGATATCCATAAGAGCATCAAGTACAATGTGTGGGCGAGTACTCCTAATGGGAATAAGAGGCTGGATTGTGCATTTCTGGATGCACAGAAGCAAATGGAAGAGAAAGGAAGCAAGTGCCCCGTATTCCTTTTCTTTTCGGTATGCTGTTAAGTTCTACATCAATTCTGTTTCATAAACTTCAGATTCCTCACATTCATGTTTTGCGTACTTGTTTATTTTCAGATTGATAATAGTCTCTCAATTCTTTTCTGGTAATTGTTTAAATTCAGGTCAATGCGAGTGGTCAATTTTGCGGAGTAGCTGAGATGACTGGGAGAGTTGATTTCAATAAGAGTATGGATTTCTGGCAACAAGATAAATGGAATGGATATTTCCCCGTCAAATGGCACATCATAAAGGATGTTCCAAATCCTCAGCTACGACATATAATACTCGAGAATAATGATCACAAGCCTGTAACAAATAGTAGAGACACACAAGAGGTATACATTTTTCATGTTTTAGTAAAACAACTGTTTCCTGAAAATACCTTAATTATTTCTTCTCTGTGCTTACTCTTATCTTGTATGTTTCCACTTTCCAGGTGAGTTTTCCCCAAGGTGTTGAAATTCTAAACATTTTTAAGAACCATGTGGCAAGAACATCCATATGGGATGACTTTGAATTTTATGAAAGCCGTCAGAAGGTCATGCAGGAGAAGAAAATAAGACAATCTATGCCCCATACCAATATACAGGTTTGTTTTCACACTGCTACCTTATTCCAAGCTTTTTACTAATTATAGCAAAAACATTGATTCCAACATTTCCTTTTTGATATGATTTGATATTGGCAATAATGGATGAGAGTGCATGTGATTGTGGGACCCCATTGGCATAAATGTGTATGGAGGAGTAGGAATTCTTCACAATATCTAATAAATGTCTAGTTGATAAAAGATTCTAAAGTTGATAAACAAGTAGTTCTTTAGACTTTGGAGCATGTTATGCTATTCTTGGCTTTAGTGTTTCCCAATTTGTTAATTGTGGTTTATTCTCTGCTCTTTATTTAATTTTTGTGTCCTTTGAGAGATGCTTTGCTTATTGTTTTATGTATAATTTTGTTGGCAGCATGTAGATGAATTAACCACTGTATTAGTGTCAGTAGACATATCAAGTGTGAAGAACATGGAGGATCCTAAGTTGGTTGAGAAAGTGAACAATGACTGAAGAAAATGTAGAGATGATGATTTTCCTAGGGACCCCGCCATGTTAGCATGCTGGTTAAGATTGCTACAGTTCACAGAGCAGTTGACACTGCCAAACCTGAGCTACAATGTAAGAGCTCATGAATTCAAGTTGAAGTTCTAATCAAAATTCTTGCTGATGATTTAGAAGGAAAAAAAAAACAAATAATATCATGTGGGCAAATGATGGATGGATCCCAAATTGTACAAACTATTCAAAGGAGGAAAGGTTTGAAGTGGATTAGACATGGTGATTGGTGGTTTTACGTGGTTATTATGAAAGCACATATCATTTACTTCATTTTATTTTTTTTTGGTTTGCACATAATAAGTTCAGTTTGGTTCCTTGTTCTTGGTTTTTTTTTTTTTTTTTTTTTTTTCACTCTTTTTCCCCCTTTATGTAGTGAATTTAACGTAACAAATGCTATTAAGCATGAGAGTTGAATACTCTCATGTGAAAAAGTGGTCATGTTATTTGATCATAATCATTCATTTAAAAATTATACAATTTTCTCTCTGTTATCTCATCATGAATGTGGTTGTGATCAAATAACATGATCATATGATTACTTTTTCACATAAGGGATTAGCTCCCGTTAAGCATAGGACAGTTCACTAGTAATATGTTGAAAATGATGGGTTGCCATGGAGGATAATGTAAAATTATTGGAGTTGGGAATCCTATGACTATGCATTATTTGAAGTATGTTGCTTGTGGCTTTGGAGTCAATGTTTTATTATTATATGATGAAATTGAGTGGTGAATCTGTTTAGAATCTTTAGGCAATCAAAAGGGATAAAAGAAAAAATAAAATTAATAGACTTATGTGTCACTTTTTTGGTGCGTCATTTGGCTTATAATTTGATAGCTTTAATAATGAAATACTTTAGGTTTATCGAAAGACATCTTTAAAATGACCAAAAAAAAGAAAAATGTTTTGATATATATTTATGGAGAAATTATAATTTTCCTTCCTGTGAGCATTAAAAAAATAAAAAAGAATTTATTTTTGGCTGATACTGAACTCCAGTTTGCGTAGTTTTAACGTTTTTAGTTAAAACCTAGCAAAAGATGAATAAATATGCATTGTACATAACTTTCGTTCTGAAGTTTTTGAAAGTTAAATCTTTAATGAAATATCTTCATGACATTGATTTTGAAGAATTCAGGGAGGCAATTTCAGAATCATTTTAACTTTAATTTATTTTTTTCTTCGGTCTTGGGCGAACAGTACATGCTACTTGATGTATTGTTACAACTTACAAGGCAGTGCAGGTTGATGTGTTGTTACTTGTTAGCCCACTCTTCATTTCTTTAATTATTTAAATATTTTGGTGGTGTTATCCCTCAATCTATGTTTTTATGATAGGTTAGTGACAATTATTATTTATGTTATACCAACACCGATACGGGACACGACTCGATATAACATTTTCACTCATTAATTTTAAAAAATGTTAAATTTTGATACGTTAGAGTACATTTTGATGTTAAATAATATTTTTGATTTATGCAGTGTATATTATATTTAATATTGAATAATTTAATAAAAAATAAAATTAAACTTATAATACTCATCAATTTTGCAAAGAAATATTTATATTAAACTCAATAAAATAGTTATCGTAATCCAACGTATATTATAGTTGGAATTAAAAAATGCAATACAATGCAACTTTTGAATTGTTTTTGAGTCTCTGGAACGCATGTAAGAGTGTTAAAGAGTGTCAGGCATGGCACATCATATTTATTGAACTGCATCATCCATCCTCACCATGTCTAAATAGTCTCTCTTTATTAATACAGGAATTTATTTTCATATATATTCTTTTGTTAGTTCACTTCTAAAGCAAGCAACAGCCACGGATAATTTTTGGGCCCGCTTTTTATCGTATAACAAAATATGTAACAAATAATGGATTATACTTGATAATAAAATATATAGTAAATAGGTTTTATGTAATTTTTAATTGAGATTTTTTTCAGACACAAAAAGAAAGAGCATAATTTTAGAAAAATGGTGTACGTAATTAAGGACCAACCGATGTAAGAAAAATGATTTTTTAGGTTATTCGTCGAAAATAAAAATATGTAATAATTAATCGCTATACATATTTCTCATTCAGAGAGAAAAAATATTTAGTGAGATTTATTTATGAAAAAATATTTTATGCTAATTATGTTAATTTTTCTCAAGAAGGATAAAATTAATTATTTAAATTCAATCAACAATTAATTTTCTTATCTTTTTTTTTGGTAAACTTAATTTTGTTATCTTTATTTCTAACCAATCCTTTATTTTTTTTCCTTATCAATTTGTAATATTCAAACAGGTTTAAAGATAAAACTTTTATTTTCTTTCGATTGCTTATCCATCCTTTCTCTTTGATTCGTTACTCTCAACAGATCCTAAAAGAACTCAAGAGTATACATGTTGTAACATCCCCGTCTCGAGCCGGTTCAATTAACATACATATGATAAAACAGAAAACAGCGGAAGACTTAACTTATGAAAATACGAGCTAACTTTTTTTCTTTTTCTTTTTAAATTCTCTTTCGTCGTAAACGAAAATCGGGCAGAGTTTCCTCTATAAATCGGACAACTGGGGATTTTCCAATCCCACTCAGATGCATTTCCTGATAAGCAGTTTATACAAATATAATCAAATGCCCATCCATGGGCGCATGCATAACTTGGCTCAGTGCCACTATATCTAACCGCATGCAATCCAACACGTAAACATATCTGAATACTACCTCATCATATAACGTGCCTGAATACCCAAATGTACATGCATCAAAGCGACAGACATGTACAAAACATATACAGGCCATATACACAATAAAGGATCAATATCATGATCCATCAAATGCGAAAATACTAAAATACATCAAACACTCCAAAAAGGTAGTAGCCTACAGCCACTCCAAATCCAATCTGTCAACTGCCTCAGCCACGTGACGTGTCCCTGCCTAGTGAGGACTCACCGGGAATCTGGGCACCTGAAAATATGTCCCCAAAGAGGGGTGAGATTACAAATCTCAATAAGCTCCAGGTTTATAGAGAATTCTCCATACCCCTGGCTCACTCCTGCATGAAAGTCAGATACAGAGTATACAAATACAACATATAACAGATATCATAACAGAACAGAGCATATATCCATATCATATCAGAGATGTGCGCCGTCATTCCCAAGGGAGGACCCCAAGCGGAAATCAACGCACGTGTTCCCGAGGGAGGACCCCAAAGCGGAACCAGACATATCAGAGGCGTACACCATCAGTCCCGAGGGAGGACCCCAAAGCGGACATCCGGGTACTATACAATCAATGGCCAGAGATTGTTACCGAAATCATATTACAGAAGTCATATCAGAGCAAAACATATCATGTTATCAAATAACTCTATATGAATGCATCTATACAAAGCATCTAAATCACAGTCATACAGTCCAACCATAGTTCACTAACCATGGTGGAGCACTCAAGCAGGAAAAGACTCCTTAAACATAGAGCTTACCTCTTGAAGCTTTACCAATACGCTTACTTGTGGAACAAGTTACTTTTATCACTTCAAGAGATTTCCGATCCTTCTCAATCCCTAGGCACACCTAGAGAATAATTTACAATGCATCAATAAAATGATGCAATACCATAATTATTTCATAAGCATACATTTTATCGCTTATTTTCCTTTCTTTGCATTTTTGCCAATCCTATGCCAATACACAAGTCTAGACCCCTTTATAACCGTTGGTGTTCTTTAATTTAATCAACCATTCCCTTAGGAATTTTCAACATAAATCATGCTACTTTTCTTCAAAACTCATCACTTTTATACAATTTATTACTACACATTTTATTTAAAATAAAATGTACAAATATATCCCTAAATACCCTATAGGTCGAATCCTATAAGGGGGATTTCCAAAGATCCATCTCTTTTACAATACATTTTCTTTACTTCCTTACAACTTGCAAACACCTAGGCATGCATCCACTAGGTTCCTATTTTGAGTTTAGACACCAAGTCCTTCACAACACATCAAGGCCGAAACATCAAGGTATGTTTCCAAGGATTTTCTTTCCAATGTAATATTCTTACTAATTCATCCAAATTCTACTTACTTGAACAAATAAAACCCCTCTTAAAGCATCAACTAAATTGGCACAATAAATCCTATTAACTCTATCAAAGGCCGAACATAGAGAGGAAATACATGATTTTTCTCTAATTTTTTTACATACTTACAAAGCTTCTTTTCATTTCATACATCAAAATATCAACTATTCCTCATCAATGCATATTCTAACACATCATGCTTTCCCACCCAAGGCATATACACAATTTTATAACTTAAATTATCAAAACAACATCATGTAAATAGAGGTTTGTTACCTCAAATCAACTACCCAAAGCCTAGAAGACCTACACCAAGAGAATCTCCATCAAAAACTTCATTTTGCCCTCTTGATGAATAGTGCACGAATTTGGGGAAGGAAATATCTCCTCACACAACCAATGATAGCTCAAATAAATGGGTGGGATGGATTCATTGAGTGGTTTCCAATCAATTTCATGTGGTGGATCATTGGATTTGGCGGATGGATGATGTAGAAATCAAAGAAAGAAAAACCAAACCCTAAGCCCCCCCTTGTCCAAGTGCAGATCGGTTTTGGAAGAAAGAGAAGAATGGAAAGCTTATGTGAATAGTGATCTTTAAAGTGACAAGGCTTTATAACACATGTGACCTTTTAACAGATATTTTTCTTTCGCGTATTTTCACTTAGACTGACCCGGAACTAACTCAAAGCTACAAACATATTTTTATTTCCTAAAATCATTTACATTAATTTTTATTTCCTAAGGAACAATATTCATAATTCACAGTATGGTTTTTGCACCGTTTTTGACGAAATGCACTGTGCATCACTAATTGTACTTCATTTACTTACGAAACTTAAAACTTATAAACTTATCATTTTCTTGGGCCTATATTGACTTGCTTGGCATATATTGGACTTTCTTATTCTTATTTCATCAATTATTTATTTCTGGACTCTACCGGTTGCTTAAACAGCAGTACAAAATACCCGGTAGAAACACTATTCACGAGATTTTCACGGAAAGTGCCAGACTATACAATTTTTCGTTCTGAACTCATATTTGTCATCAGAATTTTCAAATTATGTTCCTAAAATTATTTTGCTCATTTTAAGCTCTACCGGTTAATTCACAAAACTGTAAATTCTCCGGCAGAACGCACTGTTCATAACATAGTCATGATTACAGTCAAAATACTCGAAATCGCTCACTGAATCTAATTATGGCATTTAAATCCTTAAATTAAATCTCTAACTAAGATTTACCAGTTAGGGTCATTATACATGTGAATCTCAACTTCCGTTACATTTAACGGAAAACATTTATACTAGGACAACCCAAACATGGAAGTTTAATTAGCTGAACTTATTGTCTCCCCAATTTTTATTTGAATGTATACGATCGGGTTTGAATCATCTTTTTTATTATTTTTTTTAGCTAGAAGCTACTTATAAGCTAAAGTTAAAAAAAAAATAACTTATAAAAAAGTTAAAAGTTATTTGATAACTGTATAATTTTTTTAGTTGAAAAGTCACTTAAAAGCACATATTTTAAGAAAACTCTATATATATAGCTCTTCATTTTAAAAAAATAATAATTTAAGAAAAACTAACAAGTGCTTAAAAAAAGGCTTCTCCTAATAGTTTTTAACTTTTAACTTTTTTTATTATTATAAAAAAAGAAACTTTTCATTATAAAAGTTTTTCTAAAAATTTGTAGCTTGTTACATAAAAAAGAGAGAATCTAAAATAGCAATAGTAATGCGGTATATTCAGTTGAAGTAGTTAATGGTGGGGTGAGGTTATCATTGTGGTGACGAATCTTGTATGTATTTCTACGAAAAGAAATTTATCTATTTTTCGGGAGAGAAGGTGAAAACACATAAAAACTCTTGCATGAAAATAATGTACCTCCAATCTTTTAAAACATGCATATTTCTAAGGCGACTAAATTTCAAGAAGAAATTATATAAATGGAGACTTCAACTAGACTTATTAAAAAAAAAAAAAACTTTGTTCCTTTGACAATCTCATTCTCCATACATTTTTTTGATTGGTTATACAAATACATAAAATCATTGCATAAACGTGCAGACCTAATTTGTTTAAGTGAAATAAATTTAACAATGAAAACTCATCATCTAATCAAACGTGTTTTATTCCACGGAAAGAATTCAAATCTCACCATTCAAAGAGGGAATATATTCTTCCATGTTCCATGCAAAGTTCAATGAAATGAGATATAAAATAAAATCTTAATTCCATTTTCTCCCCCAACATGAGAGCCTCTCATTCCTGGAATGAACATGAAATTAGTTAAGCATTGAGGTAAGATACAACAATGAAATGAAGGACAAAATTAGAAAGGAGAATTGAGTGCAAAGCCAAATTGTATTTATACATGAGAACTAATCGCCCATTTACAACTACTCATTGTTCTATACTGTCATTGTCAGACTAGGGGATGTTTCCAACACCAATGGCAAGTAAAATAATTTGCAGACGGTGAATTTGTTGATTCAAGTTTCACCAGTTGGCGGTCTGCGTCCTCGACCTCGAAGAACTCGGCCGCGGGGAGAAGCTCTTCCACGACCTCTAGGAAGTGCAGAAACCACCCCAGCCTGTCTCAATTGAGCCCTCTCTCGGGCTCGCTGTGATAAATTTATGGTTGTTGACGGAGTACTAATAGGTGATGTCTGTTTTATCTCTTCTGTTTCAGATGGAACACTACTGGTGGTGACTGGCTTTGAAACAGGTAAGTTCAATTTAGAGGTACTACTTTCTGCAGCACTACTCGCCAAAGTACCCTGACTCACGACAGGTGCAGGCTCAGCTACCTGATCAGTCTCAACTGATATTGGTTCGTTCCCATCAGCAGCCTCCTCAGCCAAGTCACCTTCATCATTCTTATCATCACTTAAAAGCTCAGGAGAATTAATCTCACCAGCCTCTAGAGCTTCATCATCAACCCTAGCTGGGGAACGTTCAGGGGTTGCAGCAGGCTCCGCTTGACCTTCCCGAGTTTCTTGGTTTTCCACTATGTTAGATAGATCACTGCCACACTCAAGATCTCCAGTTTCTGGCAACAATTCTCCCTCCTCTCTCTCACTGAGTGCCAATGTTGATTGCTGGTTGTCTGCTTCAGTGTGATCCCTCTGAATCTCATCAGACTGAACTATTGATTCAACAGGTTGATCTAGATTCTCTTCTGAAATTCCGGTTTTGTCACCTTGTAATTCTTCTTGACTCGTACCACCCAAGTGTTGCGGATCTTTGGTTTCCTCGTCTTTTCCAAGAGCAATCTCACCTTCCTCATTTTGACCTTCATTGACTTCCTCATTTTGGCCTTGTGGCAACTCACCACCGTCAAATGATTCTTCGGTGATTGGATGACTGCCAATAAATTCCGGAGTTGTAACAGGCTGTTCATCAGCACTATCTTCTGGGGACTCTGATCCTTTTGATTTCTTCAAAACAGGTACCAATACATCAGAGCCCTTTTCACCAGGTGTGACAGATTCAGAAGTGGAGGTAGGAGCAATGCGTTTTCGAGACAATGGTTGAGATGATAGAGCATAATTGCTTGGAGTTTCTGTGTCACTGGAAGGTCCAGGCTTGCCCCCTGGTCCTTCAGCATCAGACATTTCTATGTCACCTTGAGGCTCGTCGACTTTTACTAGACGAGGCCTGACCAATTTCCTACCTGTTTTTCGTGTTTCAACAGCAGCTTTGGGCAATGCAAGTCTTTTCTCACTTTCTCCAGTGGCTTTAGGTGGTAATCTTCTTGCTCCAGTAGCCGCCAAGGTTAAAATGTTAGGGGATTGAGCATGGACCATAGAACCTGCCAAGTGTAGTTGTTCCATTAGTATAACCAGAGTTACAAGGTTAGCTAACGTAGAGAACCGTTATTAGTAATTATTGAAAACAGCAATCTTTATGTGTATCACATCCTTTGTCTATCTTAAGACACTAGGTTTTCTATAATCTTGATGTGCACGACATTATAGAGTTAAAAAACAACCTGTAGGAGCTGCCGAACCATCTGTAATTGTTGTTGCATCTCCCTGATTGCCACGACCTCCAAGATCACAAAATACCAAATGAGCTTCCTTTTCAAAGTTTTCAACAGCAGATATATAAGGAGCAGTGAAGTCATCGACATTGGATCCAGAAAGAAGTTGAGCCACATTCGTTCCCTAAGAAAATTTATACAATAAATAAATAAAATAAATAAGCAAAACGGGCTCAGAACATAATCATAAAAAATGATCCCTGCAAGCTAAAGCATCCCTATCCACTCAGCATTAATTAGGTTGCGCAATAAATCACTTTTTAAATTATTACCTCGGGAAGATTGCCAACAACAATCTTAAGCTTTTCAACTTCATCGGATAACCTCTTCTGAGCCTCCTTGCGCCTCTCAAGTTCATTAATAAACTTTGTTTTCTCCTGAAAGTAAGTAAATCAATTAAAGGGAGTGAATGTATATATACATATATACACATAGAGAGAGAGAGAGAGAGAAATATTTCTCAAGCAGCTTGAGATATATTTATCTTCGTCTACTCTAAAATTACGTCGTTTTGTTTATTTATTTTCTTATATTAAATGATTCAACTTTGAATAGTTATGATTCCCTTTTTCTCTCTCTTCCTTTTGTCACTATTGATCTATCTTTGTACGATTATGATTTAATAGACGGAGATAAAGTTATCTCAAGCAGCTTGAAAAATGATAAGCCCATATATATATATATATATATATATATCAAGAATGGCTGACAGAAATTGACTAACAGTGGGGCTGAAAAGTAGAGAGATAAATTGACAAGTACAATAAAAAAGACTAAGGTAGCTCAGGCAACTTCGAGTGTCAATTCTCTCCTTCCAAACTTACTGACACCTTTGCTACCAGTTTCTATATCTGCTCTCTGATTTACCGACATTCTTGTCCTGCCCACATCAACACCCACGCTACATAGGGGATCAGATCCCCATCTTCTCCTAAACCTCTCCCTATAATACACCTTAGAAACTGATACGGACCCATATAGCTGAAATAGGACCCAAGCCCACGCAGGTCTAGTTGTTGAATCAGATAGCTGGGAGTTTGTTAGGAGGGGAAGGATCTGGAAGGGATGTGCAACTGAAAACGGGCGGGAAAGTTAGCTGTATAATGCTCTAGAGTTGTCACTATTGTTGTCACTATTGTTGTCACTATTATTGTCTACTTCCTTTACTGTAATTACCTTTCATTACTGTCATTGTAAGGTCTATTAGGAAACTTGTCTCTGTTATTGTAATTACTGATACATTGTACTTCTGTTTTCATAGTAAAATGCTTCTGTTTAGTTGTTTCTTTGAATTTGTTCTATTGATGTCTATCAGAAACTGGTGAGGGTCTATCAATGGCACTTGAAATGATAATGTACATCAAGTAAGAAGCCAAATTAGGTAAGAAACCAAGCCATCGAAAAGGAATCCTTGTATAGCATTGTAACAAGCAAAAAAGTTGCATTGCTTCAGTTAATATAAAGCACAATAGCATTTGCATATAAGCTCTCGAGACAAAATGCAACATTGAAATGCTTAAACATGAATAGCAGGCTCTATCAAAAACCAAGATTCCAATAATTCCATACAGAGAAGGTATTTCTTAATCATACCACACTCATTTAATATTCTTCAACAAATGCGAGTCAATAAAGCAAGGGCTTGAAATTTTGATTTTGATTAACAAATACAGAAATAGAGCATCTAATTAGCATAAAAAATTATAAATAAAAGCAATTAGGTAAAGGGAAAAAAACCTGCTCAACATTGTTGTAAGAGTCCATTATAGCCTTTAAATTTTTCTGTCGTCTGTTTTTCTCTATACTATTGTCTTCCTTCTCCTTCTTCAATTCATCTCTCAGTCTCTCCACGGTTCTTTCCAGAATCTAGCAAACAGAAAATAACAATTAAAATTAAGAAATAGGGGATCACCTTTCCCAAAAATAAGTGGAAAAAATCCAAATCACTGTTTCTACAAACCTGTATTCTAGTTTCTTTTTCCTCCTTCATCGCTTGTTCACCAGTTGTATCACTTGTTGACCTTTTCGCTGATACACACCATCAAGTTTTAATAAATTTCAGCAACAAATAGAATAAAAGGTACTAAATCAGGAAATGAAAAAAAAGAAATGAGGGCAAGGACGGAGGGAGACTGGGGGAACAAGATTATTACCTTGTTTGATTTCATCTAATTGCTTAGAAAGTTGCTCATTCTCTTTCCCTAGGTCTTCCTTTTCCCTTGACAAAGTGTCCATTTTCTTCTGCAAAATGAAAAAAGACAAAAAGATGAAAAAACGCAACGTGAAACCAATATCAACAAATAATAATAATAACAATAATCTGGAATATATGATTACCAACAGCCAACAGGGAATACTATTTGTTTGTTTAAATAACTTATATCCACCTTAAAAATAGCAAACTGAGCGAGCTGCTTCCGATTTTTTTCCAGCTCCAGTCTTAGGTTAGCCTGTTCAATTAACCATGACACAACTGTTTATAAAGAAAATAACTTTTTTTTAAAAACTTTTAAGAGAGAACCGATACCTCAACATGCAGAATGTCATTAATTCTCTTCTCTCTCTCCATAAGATCCGATCTGCAGTTTGAAAGGTCTTGCTCTAAATGTGAAACAGAATCCTGCTTTTCCGAAAGAAATTGACCAAGTTCCTCTATCCTAGCATCCCTATCTCTCAGTTTATCCTGATGAGATGAAATAAAAAAAGTAAATAAATTTAAGACACAAAGATGATATCTCATTTCAAATAAAACAATATAGAAAATCTAACAAATCTCTCGCTCTCTCTCTCTCTCTATATATATATCTCTCTCTCTCTCTCTATATATATATATATAGAGAGAGGGGGGGGGGGGGATCTTCGACTCTGGTGTAAGATTAAGAAATCTTACTCCTCATTTCAAATATTTTTTGCCACTCACATAAAAGTAAGTATTAACCTTTTTGAAGAGATGAGAGAGAAAAAATAATAAGATTCACTCACTTTTATGTGAGTGTGGCAGAAAAAATATTTTTGCAGCAAAAGCAGAAATGTTAAACCTTATATATATAATATATATATATATGTATGTATAGCATTCACTAGACATATAAAAAAGAAAACTTGATATTTCTTGCCAGATCCAAAGTAACTAAAGTTTTTGGTTCTTCCATTTATATGGTTATCACTTAGTCCATTTCTAACCAATAAGGGACTTCACTAATCACACTTGGATTCTCAACATTCTCCCCTTCAAATGTGAGTCCCAAGCCCACATTCGCTCTCCCTCAAGTGAAAGGTTTTTCAAGTATTTATGGGGTTACATCACGGCTTGACTACACTCATGAAGTCCTTGGCTAAGATGGGTTTGAAAGCCTATACAAACACGAACACTAACCACAATCTTCAGATACTTGATACACATAGGCTAATCAACCATTAACTCTACCATGTTTGAATTGTAAAGAAAGTCTGAATCTTTGATTGTATTACAATAATGAGAGGTTACAATATATATACACCCCCCATGTGTTAAATGAGGAAACAAATCACTCCAAATAAAGAGGAAAAAAAAACTGATTCAACACTTATTCTAATTGATCCTAGAGAGAAATTAGGGATTTGACAATATACGATATAAAGAACTAATTCAATCCAAAAGCTTAAGTTGTTGGGTGAAGCTACATTAATGGTTTTATATTTCTCTAACACGTCGTCTCACACAAGAGCCCATGGTTTTATACATTCACTTGAAGGGTGGATGATGCATAGGTCCAACCTACCTGTGCTAAGAGACTCCACAATATTTGATAATTTTTATTAATAAAATGGGGGTGGTGAGGATCAAACTCATGACCACTTAGTCATGTTGGTTTTGACCATATAAAGAACCAATTCAACCCAAAAGCTTAAGCTGTTGGGTGAGGTTACATTAATAGTTTTATATTTCTCTAACATACGGAAAGTAATCTTCCTGATTTTCTACACTAATCTAATGAAATTAAATCATAGAATATACAATCAAATAACTATGGGATCTATTCCTTAAATAGAAGATACTATTCAACACAGATGAAAATAAAGAACTGAAAGAAGAACATCTAAAATTTCCAAGATGTATGATACGAATAATGTAAGACAACAAGCTATACATTTTCAAGGGAGTAGCAAACTTCAAGAATAAGAAAAAAAGGGAACCCGATTGAGGATTAATTACTAGAAACCTGCAAGGCAGAGAGAGAGGCCTAAATATACTCTAAAATGAACAATTATTATAACAACCTGCAAATCTCTAACAAGTTTCTTCACTCGATCATAATCCTCCACATCAACCTTTTTGCTCCTTTCAAGCAACTGGAGAGAAAAAAAAATCAGAAAAAAAAAAGGCAGAACAAAAACAGAGTAAAAATAGTAATAAATTATATTTTCACTGTTTCAAAAAGCAATACCTCAGAAACCTTGTGATTGAGATGGTCTTTTTCTATTTTTAGGGTTTCAATCTCTTTCTTATGGCCATCCAGCTGAATTTCTCGTTCCCTCATAAGATTCTCTAGATTCTCTGTATCAGCTCTTGCCTTTTGTGCTAGTTCACGCATTTTCTAATAAGAATTCAAGAAAGTTATGTTTCTTAGTAACACAAAACACTACACCATGCAACAGATTTTACCGAAATATAAGTCAACAAACAAACCACACGAGGCTATCTTGAAAAGTCAACACAAATCAGTTGATGATGGTGATACATGCAAGAAATTTTGTCAACAAAGAACAGCAAGGAGATATGGGAAGAGGACCAAAATAAAATTCGTTTTTTCTAGCTCATGAACCTTTTATAACAAGAAAATGTAAACAACCAAAAAGGAAACAGGTAAAGGGCATATCCATATACCTGACACTCTTCAAAGTTGTGCTTATTTTCTTCCCTGAGCTGCATGTTACTCTCACGAAGTAAGTTCATTTCCCTAATCTGTAAATGATATTAAAAAAGATCTTATTTGATTGATCATATAAGGTAATTAGGAAACATATTTAATTAAAAAAGATCAACTTATTATGTCATCAAGAACCAAGCCATAGATAATGAGGAAAAGTAGATCCTGACAACAAGATTCTCAACCTGAAGCTGCAATGATTTGAACTCTTCTTCAGTAAACAAAAATGATCTTGATTTTGCACGCTCAGCTTCTAGCGATGCATGTGCAGACTCTGCCGCCTTCAAGGCACTATCAAGCTACAAAATACCATTAAATACACGAAATATAAATTTCAAAGATGGACACAAGAAACTGAATTCAAAAATCAAGTTCTTCACATGAATGACCCTTCCCCAAACATATATATGACATAAATGCACTCCTCTATATCCGATTGAGTTCCAAACACATGCTATAGAATATGAAAAAACAAAATACTATTGTTAAAATAACAAATCATAACGTAATAGCTCTATCTCTTCATGGTGGAGAACATCAGAAGGGCTGGCAGCTGTTTAAACAGTTTAAAAAACCGTAACACACATCCATATCAAGGGCCTTAGGTGACAGTAACAGTGAAAATCTTAAGTTTCTTTGAATCCAGAGTTAATAATTGTCAGAAGGAGAAGTTATAGGGAAAAGGCAAAGAAAATATAACAAAAAAATTGCTGCCCTCAACAACAAATCCTTACAAAACCAAAGACAATCATCACCCATTTCAAATTAGCTGAGAAACTGAGACTGGATAAGAGATTAGGTTGAGATACAGATAAAAAAAATTAAAAATATAATTATACGAAGATTGGAAGAGATAGATATTACTCATGTCAGACAACAGGTGTTGATTCAGAATGATATATCACGTAATAATAGAATAATGGAACATAAAATATAGTTATTGGAGCACTTGCTAAATCATTTACCTTTTACCTTGCCATAAGAAGGTAGGTTGAGAGATTAGGTATTACACACAGAATACAGATGTTTATATGTTAAGATATAAAAAACATATCAAAGAAGAAACTGTGCAAAATTTAACCTGTGACTGTAATCGCAGTTTTTCTTGTTTTAACAATGTAACTTCTGTTTCTGCCTGTGTCAGTAGAAAAATAGTATTAGACAACCAAGAGATGAACATACAAATAGAAGAAAGAGAGAGTATTAGCAAGACTAAGGTATTTACAATTTCTTTTGAACGTCGGAGATAATTAATCACATTTTGAAGGCCAGCATCACTAAATGTATCTGCACTACTACTTCCAGATGAAATGCCAGCAGCAATACGCTCCTTCTCAGCCCATTGAATATGTGAAGCCTCAAGTTGGGTATGCAGTATTTTATTCTGAAGAATGTTGATAGTGTTCCTCAAGTAAATAAAACAATAGCAACTAGTATAATACAACATAAGACGGGCAGAAATATCAAATGAAATGCCATATGGCATTCTAACTTCCATGCATTAAAAATCCTCAAATCATCAATAGGTCTGTTGCCATAGCATATATGAACCAAAAATTTATACCCAGTTCAATGACACATGCAATTGAACAAATGAGAAAAACTAGAATGAAGATGAAAAGAAGAAATTAAGAAGAAAATTGGTGGATAAATAGATAAGGAATCCTCCACAATGGGAGAAAGGAAAAATAAAACAACAAAAAAACTAGAAGACATCAGGGGAGCAAAATTACCAAATCCTAAATCAATTGCTTAGCCAAAGAAACTTAAGAAAATATCTGACAGTTACATATTAAAAATAACATCAACGATATTAATTAGATCATGTCCTGAATAAATCAAGTTCCAAACAAAAAAGATTCGCCCATAATGAAAATTTTATATAAAAGTTACTCAAATAAACCTGATATGTAAGTATCTATGACATAATCATACAGTTTTCAGCAAAAAAAGTTTATTTTTGTACTGAAGCACATTAAAAACAGTCATAAAAGATATTCTCAATGACCTGTTCATTGATTTCTTCGTATTTCTTTTCAGCATCTTTCCTCGATATCTCTAGTCCTGCCTTCTCCTCTTCCCACTTAGCCTTTAGTTCATTCTGTCAAACACAATATAAAAATTGCAATTATCATTTAAAACTTAATGACTTTCAATTGATTACATAAAAAAGACATCGTGACAAATCAATTGGAACAAAACCAAAAATAACATAAAGAAAGGCCAAAAAAACAGATAAAATAGCAAGTACTCAAGATGGAAGGTAAAGTTGACAAGTGCGGAAGCAAACCAGCACATAAATATTACCCACGGCCTTGGTTTCCATCACTCACATCCAAATGTCCTCAAGCAAGAATAAATTAAAAATCCAGTGGAATTAGCACTTTAAGAAATGTTGAGATATATAGTCCCACATTAGTTGTATGAGCAACTAATGTGGAGTTTACAAGGCCTTGGGCACTCCCACCCTTTGAGCTCGCTTTTGGGGTGGTATATCCCAAGGTTCTTTACATAGTATTAGAGCCTCGTGTCCCGGGTTCGATCCTCGCCACCCCCCACTTTCTCTTGTGGAATTTCCTTAGCACAGGTAGGTTGGGCCTGTTGTATCATCCACTCTTCAAGCCCAATGGACTCTCGTGTGAGGGGGCGTGTTGAGATATATAGTCCCACATTGGTTGTATGAGCAACTAATGTGGAGTTTATAAGGCCTTGGGCACTCCCACCCTTTGAGCTAGCTTTTGGGGTGGTGTACCCCAAGGTTCTTTACAAGAAAAGGGATGGCCTTGTGTGGTTAGGTGTTTATACTAAAAGGCCTATTAACCCCAAGCCGAATTGCCCCAGCTCGTTTTGGGGGTTAGGTTGGAAACATGGAATATGATCCAACACCCGGAGAAACACATTTCTCATCTCCTTTCCCACATTCATTCTCCAATCACAGCCTATGAGTCGCCAGCTCATTCTTCAAAAGGCACGCAGTCAGTATGTCTGATTTTGGAAACATAAAGTTGCAATTAAGAATATTATTGAGTATCTACACTTCCCCTTTAACTCTCAAAACTCTCCCTCTTTTTACCATCTTCCCCAAATCTTTCTACCCTATACAATTCTATTCACTTAATAAAGTACAGCAGGGTTCTAGTAGTTATATAATCATCATTATCTTCGTGACAAATATCTCATTTCCTTAAATTGAATAAACTTTATGTAAAGAACCAATTCAACCCAAAAGCTTAAGCTGTAAGGTGAGGGCCTCTTTAATGGTTTATATTATACTCTAACATCCCCCCGCACACGAGAGCCCACTGGGCTTGAAGGGTGGATAATGCACAGGCCCACCTACCTGTGCTAAGAAAATTTCACAAGAGAAAGTGGGGGACAGTGAGGATCGAACCCAGGACACGAGGCTCTGATACCATGTAAAGAACCAATTCAACCCAAAAGCTTGTTAGGTGAGGACCTCTTTAATGATTTATATTATACTCTAACACTCTAGAATCAAAGTTTGAACCATGTAACACTCTAAATTCATGTTTTCTATTTGAATCAACTGATGCAATTAAGATTTAAACCTAAAAAGTTTAAAATAATAATAATAACAAGTTATCATCCCACCATTTGTATGTGGATATCAAATTAATGACTTTCAATGAACCACACATCTTGACTACCATACTGCAATCAAGCTATCACAGTTATACATATCAGGAAAATGGTAATGAGAACATAACATTCAAACTATTTTTCTGCTGTTGCACCTGTAATAGTGATTCAGTAATGCCTCTTCTATAACATGACCACTCAAAACTAAAGAAAAGAAAAATGTATCTTTCATTATCGGTCATATATGTGTGTGTATGAAACCTTAAGTATCGACTACGCAAATAGATCATGAAGAAAAATCACTAAGATTTAGACCGGCTATTTCTTTTAAAACTGCATGACGCAAAGCAGCCAAAGGTAAGGTATATTAATCCTATGATAAGCCATCAAAATAGAGTAAACCAAACCAACTAAGATATCATAAGGGGCTCCAATAAATACCTCAGGATTTTTGAACAAAAATATATAAGAAGGCAGAAACAATAAACGAACTATAGTATAAGTTTCAAAAAAAGAAACAAATAGTAAATGTAAATATGGAATGAATATGAAATTTTACATTTTCAATTTTCTGAGCATCAGCTAGTTTACGTAATTCAGATGCCTCCTCCTGGAGCAAGGCCAGTGCTTTAGATGTTTTAGTCAACTCCTGAATTGTTTCAGACTGGAGAATAACCTGTGCCATAAAAACATCTAAGATTAGAAAGAATGAAAAAAAAAATTCAAATTAGCAGAGTATGAAATGTGTTATCTCCAAGTTTCCAACAGTTTGTAAAAATGATCATAAAACAAAAAATATTCACATCTACAAAAATTAACTATCTAAACAACAGAAATAAAAGTAAAAAAAAAGAATCAATGGAAACAATTAAGGGAATGTTTGGTTTGTTTTCTATTTTCATTTCCAGTAGATATGTTTTCATTTATAATTATAAAAAGTCACCCTGTTTTCACTTCTGTATCCTATTTTCAAGTGATTTCAATTTATTGCACAGGATATGGTGAAAACGATATGGTGAAAACATCATTTCCTAGTTTTCATAATTTCAAGGTTATCGGAAACAAAATGAAAACAAGGTTGCAATTTTGTATTTCTTAATTAAAACAGGATAAAAATAAACACCCTGAAAGATAGATAAGCATGCTGAATTCTAAAAAAGACATCCCCTAGTCAGAAACCCTGACATGGGTTGAGTTTTCAGAGACAGAGAGAGAGATGAGAGAGCAGAGCTAATGCTCATCCCTAATGATAGCAAATCAGAACCCCGGCACTTCTGCCCAAGGTAGTCAAAATCACGATTTTGCGATTTTTCACAGTAAATGATCCAAATCGGTTGCTGGATCACAATTGCATAAGATCGAGTGAGATCACCGGGGAAGATAGTGGGATTGCGTGAGATCGCCGATTTTGCTAAATTATTTGACCTGACTTGAAAACCTGTTTAACCAGTTTTTTAACCCGTTTGACCTTACTCAAAAATTAACCTAAATAAGAAAACCCAGAAGCCCATTCTACCTTGGAATAGACCTGTGCAGCTCATCGCATTGATTTAATGTTGGAGGATTTGGAGAAGATACAGGTTCACCATCATGCTATTCCAAGGGGGGAAAAAATCACAACTTATATTTATTCAAGAACTTCTTTGATTAAAGGAAGATTTTTGGTAATCCAATAGACAATATTGCAATTAAGAAAAAAACTCCAACAAAATAGTGGGAGTCGTACGGGAATGAACATCCAGAGCTCCAAAAAATTTTGCTCATGTTTTGAGCTTGACATGCAGTTCCTCCGATTGAGAGTGTAATTGGAGTACCTTTAAGATGGTAAATTTCATGAATATGAAAATATAAATTGTACTTCATTTCAAGAATGAATTTTGTATTAATTATTTTTATATTTGTTTAGGTCCATACAAAAATAAGAAATCGTTTGAAACAAAAGACTATGAATGATAGTGTTTTAGTGATGCCTATTTCAAGATTGGCCAAGAAGAAGGTGGCTAGAGAAATGAACGAGTATAATGTTGATGATATTTCTTCTAATGATGATTGCATCATGGAAAATGATGAAAGTCCATCTAACATTGAATACTTTGATGCAGAGAACTTGGTGCCAACTCAAAATGAAGACTTGGTTGAACCTACAAATGATTTGAAGTTACCGAATTTTGATGAAGAAGCTGTTGAAGATGGAAAGGAAGATGCCATGCCCATGCTAGATGATGATTGTGATTTGAATGCTTTGATAGATTAAATTTATACTATTTTGTTTTGGTTTTGGTAATTCGGTAAATTGTATTTGTGACTCAAGTTGAATGTTTTCGACTTTGGAGATGCCATACTAGATAATGATTAAATTTTTATTTTGAATGCTTTGAAGTTTTCTTTAATATTTGAAGTTTGAATTGTCTTTTAAAACTCAGGTTGAGTAAAATGTTATTTTATATGCATAAATATTTTTTATTATTATTAAAATTAGAAAAGTAAGATCTTTATTATCCGTGTCGATCCCATGATTTACGATCTTGCCACCTCTTTCCGATCTTAATTAATATCTTGATTTTGACTACCTTGCAGATAAGAACGTGCCCTTGCCCTCTTGAAGGGAGAGAAGGGGGGAAACAGCTGCTAATATCTCACTATCTGACGAGCAAAAGGAGGAATCCATCCAAAGGGGGGTTTGTGTTTGATTAGCTAGTTGGTGAGGCAATAACATAGCTGCTCCATATTAGAGAAAAAGTAGAATAGCTTCGTATTCTACCTTTGTACCTACTGTCCATACTTGGGAAAAAAAAAAAAATTATTACAGAAAGAAAAAGGTGGGAGTTCAAAGGTGTTATAAGTATAATATAAAATACAAAAAAATTAACCTAACAACTTAAACTTTTGGGAGAGTTGGTTTCTCCACAAAAGGTTGGAGAATAAGATATTGGGCACCTAATGTCCACATTTTGTAAAAAAAAAAGAAATTTTACTACAGAAAGAAAAAGGTGGGAGTACAAAGGTGTTAGAAGTATAATAAAAAATACAAAAAAAATTAATCTAATGGCTTAAGCTTTTGGGAGAGTTGGTTGCTTGACAAAAATGCTGGAGAGTAAGATATCCTCAACAAATGCAAAACAAAAGGAGAAAACAAAGCAGAGACAAATAAAAGGCACGTCTAAAAAACTAGTGAGTGTAGGAGAGAAGTCAAGTCTCCTAAGAAACTAGGATAGCCAATGCACAGCTCTCTTAGAAAAAAAAATTTGAAATGAACACTGCTAATCCTGATTGCCCAGCAGCCCTTGGAAATGGATATTTAAGATAACAAAACAAAAAACAATATCAGCATAATTATTTACTAGCTACTTGAATCTAAATATTAGTCACTCAATTAAATGAAAAAATAAAATCAGATAGCCAAGCAACTTCAGCACACAAAACAAGACTCATGCAACAATCTACTACAAACAAATTTTGCTATATACGAAGAATAATCTTTTAACCTGTCTTTCATAATTGGTTTGAGCTCCACGCCATTTCTGATGCTCCTTGTCCAGCTGCTCTTTAAAACTAGAGATCTGAATTTCCATTGCTGAAATTTGAGAACTACATGCACAAAAAATGTGAGACATAAAACCAAACAAGCAGTAAAATTAACCCTGTAGCACTCAGATACAACTTACGATTTGGTTAAAATTTCTTCTTTAAGATTTGTTATTTCAGCCAAAGCAGACGTAAGAGCCTCTTCCTTTCCCCAAGTTGCAGAAGCCACTTCTTCAGATTTCAAACTAGATTCATTTTCAAGCTCCGAAACTTTCTCTTTAAGCGAATGAAGTTCAGCTTCTAGTGCTTTCTTTGCATTGTCAGCCTATACGCGTTACAAAGAAGACAAACAAAATCCATTTGGTACAATAGCAAATAGCATGGAAAATAGCTTTCAAGATTCAAGTATGTTAGAATACCTCTATCTTATAGTTCTCATGTGCAACTTCTATCTGTTTAAGTGCGTCTTCATTCACCTCAGCAATGCTCTTATACTTCAAATAAATGCAAACCGGCAGTTAGTTTAATTATAAATTAAATATTACTTGTTTGAAAGAATAAAATAATAACCTGCAGCATGTGAGTTTTGTTAGCATGTGCTTCCTCTTTCAATTTTTCAATCTCCTCCTTTGCTGTTTGCAATTCAGCAACAACCTAGATAATGATAGAAAACCAACGTCAGGCACAAATGCAACAAAAGTAATGCATGAACACACCTATTTATTGAAGTGAAAAAATTGTAATAGATTCTATCATCTATATATGTAGCGTGTGTGCTCTGATTAGACACACAACAATTTTCACTCAAACCCCATATTTCTTAGTCCTATAACTATACCTTTCCCTGTCTTTTGTGCCTAAAGATTGGTACAATCCCATATATTTTTCTTGCTTGTCAACATTTTTTCAAGTTCCAAGCTTAATAGTACCCTCTTTTAACTGTAGCCTTCTCTTGAAAACTTTTATCCCACCACCAAGATTTTTCATCCTTGGGTTCTGTAAAGAACCTTGGGATACACCACCCCAAAAGCTAGCTCAAAGGGCGGGAGCGCCCAAGACCTTATAAACTCCACATTAGTTGCACATACAACCAATGTGGGACTATATATCTCAACACGCCCCCTCACACAAGAGCCCATTGGGCTTGAAGAGTGGACAATGCAACAGGCCCAGCCTACCTGTGCTAAGAAACGCCACAAGAGAAAGTGGGGGGCGGCGAGAGGCTCTGATACCATGTAAAGAACCTTGAGGTTACCACCCCAAAAGTTAGCTCAAAGGGTGGGAGTGCCCAAGACCTTATAAACTCCACATTAGTTGCACATACAACCAATGTGGGACTATATATCTCAACAGGTTCAAAGCCTCTTGATTCGCGAGTGTCTTTTTTGTCGCCTTCCTAATCACTCTAGCCATTCCATCCCACATATCATTAGTTATCCCTTTTACCTCCAAAATGTCTTTCTTTAAAAATATTCCTCTGAAAAATCATTTTTTATCTACCCTTTAGTTGCAATCATTTGATCCTTGGGACTTTATCTAGTCAACTCCTCCTTCGACCTTAATCTCATAATATCACATATTCATAACCAAAATCCAAAGTTGGGTAGTCAAGCTCACTCCAGGGATGACTTTGCAATCTATACAAAGCTTTCAAACTGCTTTCCTTACAAAAAAGAAATCGATTTGTGAGCATGAAGACACACATTTATACATGATAAGATGTTCTTTCTACTTCCTAAAACAGTGCTTGCTATCGTGAAGCTAGCAATACATCTAGAATAGCTTTACCCACTGCATTAGATTCGCCTGGAATTGTATCTGAGTAATTGATGCAGATTTACAATTTCCATATATTATTCTTTTGGAATTTCGGTGGAACTCTCAAGCACTTTTCTTTACCTATTAAGCTATTCTTGAAGAGTTTTTTCATGAGCAAAGGATTGCAATTTGAGAGGACCCTACCCACTCCGTCTAACTCATTTAGTGCTTGTTTGGATCCTCTTATTTTTAAGCTAGAAGCTACTTATAAGCATAAGCTAGGCCAAACAGGTTTTGAAAAAAGCTCTTATAACGAAAAGCTTTTTTTTTATAATGAAGAAAAAGCTGAAAATTAAAAGCTCCTCGGAGGAGCTTTTTTTTAAGCTCTTGTCTGTTTTTCTTGAATTGTGTGCTTTTTTTTAAAATGAAGAGTGATAAAGATAGAGAGAGAGATAATTTTTTTGAAATATGTGCTTTTAAGTAATTTTTAATCTAAAATTTTTATGTAATCTCCAAACAGCTTTTAGCTTCTTTTTTTAAGCTCTTTTTTTTAGCTTTAGCTTATAAGTAGCTTCTAGCTTAAAAATAAGAGGATCCAAACAGGCTCTTAATTGGATGTGTGAACTAACCCAAGACCCAAAGGCTTGATTATTAAATTATGAGAATAAATTCATTATGGATTAAGTTAGATAGTAAATATAGGTGATACTATTTATAATCTATTTAGGATTCAGGAAACAAAATTAGGAAAATAATGGTATATGACAGATCAATGCATTGTTAGTATTTTCATAGTACCAAAACATTACAAAAAACCTCAAAGTTGAACTGTACAAAATTTTGTTGGGAAAGAGCCACTTGGAAGTTGATAGAAGTGAGTGATTTCAACATCATATACATCTATTTAAAATCTATTCAATTATCTATGACATTTGAATACTTTTTAAAACAAAAAAATAAGTTGTCCAGTATATGTACATGCATTGATAATGGTTTTTGAGTATTGACAAATATGAAGATCAATGTTTTGCATATGGAAAAACGATTGAGATTGGTTGGTTTAAGCTTGAGAATTCTAATTACCATGACCCAACTATCCCAAAAGCTTAAACTATTAGGTGAAGATACATGATGTTAAGACCGGCATTAGGGAGGCCAAAAACCTTGCAAGGGATACTTCCATCAATAGGCCAAAAGACAAAACTCAATAAGTAGGCTAACACCACATCTAAACCCAAAACCTTAAGACTATAGGTCTATGGGTCTTTCACACTTATATGGTCCTCACTTGGTCTAATACCTAATCAATGTTAAGACTCATATGACTTACAGTTGAATATTTCCAATATTCTACTCTCAAGTGTGAGGCCTAACATCATGATCCCCCTCAAGGGCAACTTCGGTAAAAGCCTCTTCTGAATTGGAGTCACACTAGTTTTTTGCAGAGGCCTCTTTTCAAGTGCATCAACATCTCCAAATACTCGACTCAGCCAAACAATTGGTTATGATACAACTATTAAGAGTACTAGGGAGCCTAAAAACCCGCTGCAAGGGATACTTTCATCAATGGGCGAAATGACAAGTCACAATAAGTGGGCTGACACCATATCTCAACCTAAAACTTTAAGGCTATGGGTCCATAGGTCTTCCGCATTTATATGATCCTCACTTGACCTATGTCTAACCAATATGTGACTTCAAACCACTCACTTGAATATTTCTAACAAGCCCCTTGCATTTGAAGGATAGATAATGCACAAACTCACCTATCATATGCTAAGAAATTCCACAATATTTATTAGAAGAATGGGACGGCAAGGATTGAAATCTAGAACACTTGATCATAGAGACTTTGATATCAAGTCATGAACCAACTATCCCAAAAGCTTAAGCTACTAGGTGGAGACACATGAACAGTGCTTATATTATATATCTTAACATTAATGTCGGAAATTGTTACTCTACAAAAAAAGTTTATATGTTTTGGGGTAATACCTTGCCAGATTTTGGTCTAACAGTAACAGCAATGAATGTTAGCAGGGAACCTAAACAGTATTAGACCCTAACAAGCACTGAATATTTGACTCCAAGTGAAGGCCGACAACAAGTCAAGTTTGCAACAAGCAGCCCCAACCCCCCGGAAAGAAAAAAAAAGCAGCAGCAAAATTGGTTCTTTTCTAAGGGGCGCGACACTTGAAGCTCCATGTGAGATGGTTTTTTCTCTATCTTACAAACTTTATATAGCTGAATAATATGGCATTTTAAAAAAATACACCCACCTCATCACTGGATATAGTGGAAGGACCACTCACACCATCCATGTCAACAAGCTACATTCAATAATACAGAGATTAGAATAAACAGAATAAATATCAAGATTGCAGGGAAGTAAATATGTACAATAAACCTCCACTCAAGCACCAATTAGCAAATAACAGTAAAAGTTGTACACTCAAACTGGACTTCCATAAAATGGATGTCAAACTTCCTTCTCTAACATTCCAGCAATTATATAAAACAGCACATGTCATGAATCTATCTGTAATCAACAAGATACTTGACCAAAAGGAGTAACATATAGATACAATAGGATAGACTTCCATTTAAGCTAATGTTTTTTCATGAGCACACAAACTAATTGACAGTGTTTCCATAGAAAATCATAGACATGCAGATAGATGCTAAAGCTTTCTCATATTGATATCTTTTGGCCATGTTTTTGAAGATTTTGTTCCGTGCTCTTTTTGCTGCTTTTGATTTTGAGGATATTGATAGGATAAACTCTCCAATCAGGAAGAAAGGGAGATTTATATTAATGTGAGAAATGAATTTACGAGGAAGAATAGCAGGAAAATAAGAGCAGAATGTTCTCAACAATGGAGAATCTCTACAAGCCCCAGCTTCAAGCTGCAACAAAAAGAAATGAAAATTGCATACATCTACGATGACTGCATTCCCTCAAAATACCGAAGATTCCACTTTTCTCTCTTCTCTCACTAAAACACCACTTACCCCCAAAAATAACTGGATTCATTGGGGCTTGGGCCTGCGGCAGTACACCTTGAAGGGTTTGGCTGTTTTAGGAAAATCATTCATATCATTTTGGCTCTCCACTTTACCAGATAATCCTCCTTTGTGTTTCATTGTTCCATCTAATAAATTTCTTCTTTCATTTTATAAAAAGGGAGCTAAAAAATTCATAATGAATGCAAAGATTTTAACGATGAAATGATATTCAACAAAACACACTAAACCTCATACCTTAATGAGTGTAAAGCCTAAGACTGATAGTTCTAAAAAGACAACCATTAGCAACAAACCTCACAAATTTAACAAAACCAATCAAAGAAAACAAACCTTATCGTCCGTGGAACCCATTTTTCTTTGAAGACTTGAAATTTTTGCCTGTGTATAGAGATCGAAATTAGTCTTTACAACAATTTATTGAGAATATGTACAAGAGAGCAACCTAAATCAAGTACCTCAGCAACGGAAGCCCTAGATTCAGCAGATGCAACTGCACGCATTGCATTAGCTAACTCTTTGCTCATGTCCTCAACATGTCTCAGAGAATCTTTTATGGTCTGGTCCCGATCTAGTGTGAGTCTCCGCACATTTTCACGCTCTTCTTGTAACTCTTTCTTGGCCTCAGCCCATTCCCTCTAAAAAGTGAGAATTTATGATAGCCATAACAATAAATCGTTAAATAGAGACAAGTATGCACTTCTCTAAGAATTTTTTTTTATTATTCACCAGTTAATACAAAGAGTTTATAAGGAAATAAGAAAACACACCTCCAATTTCTTTAAATATTCTTCATGCTTTACCCTCTCCATGGTTCTTGCTTCCTACAGTTTCCAAATTAAGTAAACTTCCAAATAGAAAGTATTCAAGAAACATCAAAGTAACATCCACATTGATGGCAATAACCTACCTCTCGAACTTCCTCAGCACTCTGTATGGTAGCCAAACTAGCCTGCAGCATTAAGTGTTAGAATATACATAATTTATAGAACATAAAAAAAATAAAAAAATCCTGACCTGCAAGCGCTGCACTCTTTCAGATAAACTGCGAACCTCATCAGATGCTCTCTTTTCAGCATTTGATATCACTTCCTTTTGGTGCTTTAAAACAGACAACTGAAATAAAGACAAGAAATGATGAGTTCATTAAAAAACAGGTACATCTCAGTACAAAAGTGTATAAAATTTTAAAAAATTGGATATTTAACTGGAATAAAATCTTAACCTCCATGGAAAGTTTCCGAGACAGCTCCTCAGCAGCATTCAATGACTCAGAGCTTTCACGCAATTTCCGTTGGTAGTCAACAACTAGCTGAGAAAACTCTACATTTCTTGCTAAAATGCCTTTTGCTTCAGCTTTCTAAAATGTCATCCAAAAATCCATATATTAGTACAATACAACACATACATACAGGGAGAAATCATTTAATGTTACAGACAAGTGATTGCCTGTTGTTCAAATTCTTTCATAAAGCCATCAAGTCTCTCTCTAGCAAAGTTTGCTTCTAGTGCCATCTTGTCACGATCTGATTGTAATACAATAACCTCACTCCTGAAGATAGAAAATTTTAGACTAAAAAACCAATAATTACATGAAAGCATGTGGGTATCTATATGTTAAGAACCAATTCAACCCAAAACCTTAAGGTGTTGGGTGAGGGCTTTTTTAATGGTTTATATTATTCTCTAATACACCCCCTCACACAAGAGCCCTTTGGGCTTGAAGTGTGGATATTGCACAGGCCCAATGTTTTTGGTTTTATTACCTTGTGCTTATTTTAATTCCACTCGAAAGTGGGGGGCGGTGAGGATCAAACTCGTGACTTTGTGGTCACTGAAGCTTTGATACCATGTTAAGAACCAATTCAACCCAAAACCTTAAGGTGTTGGGTGAGGGGGCCTTTTTAATGGTTTATATTATTCTCTAATACTAGATATGGATCAAATATAATATTTAATTATCCAGATATCATTCCTCTAATAAACATTGAAGTCACTTGGTTAATTGATTTAAAAAATAAAAGCATGTTGATGGATGAGGGTCCACGAGTTAAAGGAAGTTAGAGAAAAAATGAAACATCGTTTATAATTAAGAATAAAAAAAAAGCTGAAAAAAATACAACTCTGCGTGAATAGCTTCTGCTAAATATTGATTATATCGTAAGCTTACATAACCTAATTAGTTTATGAGGAATATATTTCTCATGTTGTATGAGAAAAAATTATCTCATGCACAAATAAAAAAATATTATAGACCCACATAGTGGACAGAACCCTTCCCTAGACCCTGCGCATAGTGGGAGCTTTATAGCACCACGCTGCCCTTTAATCATCAATGTTAACTTTTACTGTTTAATTCAGCAGCTTACTTCTTGGTTTCAATTTATTATATAATCTTCTTTCTACAGCCAATTAGACACACTAAATAACTACATAAGCATATTTATATTAACAAATTACAAAAAAACATCTGTACTATATTTTTCCTCCTATCAAATTAAAGGTAATGTTGTTTACACATGACATTAACTGCAAATCCCCCTAAAAAGTTAACATAGCAGAAAAGTTGGGTTTAAAAAGAAAACAGCAAAGATCCAATATGTACGGAGACAACAATAGGCTTTTTGGTGATTTGGCTTCAGCAACTTGGCTATTTTCTTCCTATTATGCATTACTTCAAACTGAGGTAATAAGTAGGCAGAGTCATAAACCAAACACAAATTATGATGCATCATAAACAAGAATCGTAAAGTAAGCTTGCAACCTTACCTTGACTTTGCTAAGTCATTCTCAAGGCATCTTACACGATCTAAAGCTTTTTCCAGGGACTTCTTAGTAACTTCCTATAGTAATGAAAACAACAACATATATAACAATTGTTAAATGGCTATCACGTGAGGGGACGTGATATGTATAAACCTATTCATGATCCTTCACCCAAAAAACTAATATTTTGACAACTTTGATCCTAGACAGGAATTATGAGTTGGAACTGTCTCTATCTGCTCCAACATTTGCTTTACCTGTGAACTTTCAATCGATGTCTTCAGGTTGATTCTTCCAACTTCTGCAACAGCTGGAAAATAAAAAATCAATAAATGTAAGGCACCAACAGTCCAAGAGGCACAGACACTAGTCAGAAATAATAACCCAAACAGCAATAGAGCTAATTTACACAAGTTTATAGATCAAGAAGTTTCACTCGGATAATGATATTCCATGCATATTCACATTTTTCACAATATAACAAAAATACTTAAACTCACATGCATAACCAATCTAACAAACAAATAAATTAATGCAATGGGATTGCCTAACACATTCTTCTGTCAACAAACAAACAATCATAACCAATATGCAATGATTTACATAACTTTTCATGCAATTGACCAATCAGGAAGTAACCCAGAAGCATTTTATCCTAGGCACTCACACAAGACAAAAGACAGAAAGAAAGGGGAGGAATCATACGTCTATCAATGTTCCCTCTACATTGGTAGCAGGTTATATGCATGTGAATAAGTTTATACATAAAATCTGAAGACCCAGAAAGCGCAACTATGGCACTGGACAAAAATATGATACCAACATAGACACAATAATATGGCAAAATAAAAAAAATTCTTATGATATCCCACCAGTCTTGGCACAAAAGTTACTAAATTCTTTTTATAAAAAAGTCCCGTTTATTAAATTATTATGAAATGCCACCAGTGTTGTAGTATGCAGACTAGGAGAATCCAACAGCATCCAATGAAAATCTATACAGATACGAGTCCAACACCATATCACCAGCCATTCTAAAGTGCTTGAGTTTCTTTGCTGAAGGGAAAATATAAACATGCTTGTTTACACTTTCATTTGGCCAACATTATTACATCCTATAGGACATCTTCATCTCATTAGTTATTACGGTGGAGAAGTGAACAATAATGCTGTTCATTAGAAGTTTAGAGCATAGTTGTCAATAAGGGGCAGCCCACCCCACTTAGCCCCAACTCACAGGCTTGCAGCCCACAAACATAGGCCAAAAAGCAGTGTGCTAGGTCCAACACATGGCATTCCAAAGTTAGAATTTCACAGAAATTATATAAAGCACATGATCCTCTTATATCCGATTGCATCCATTCAAAAAAGTTCTAGTGTTTCAGTTTTAACAATACAGAAAGTTTGATCTTTTTGGTTACACTAATAACTCCACTTTCTCAAACCTCAAAACATTTTAGTTGTTCTTATTCTTATATCCTATATAATATTATGGGTTTGCTTTTTCTACAGTCAATGCAGATAACTTAGCTATATTGAGCCCAAGACGACGTCGTTTTGGAACAGAAATCAAGGTATTTTTGTAATTATAATTTATTTCGGGGTTATAATAGTCTTTTTCATTATAATTTTTTTAACTTTTCAGCCCAAAATGACGTCGTTTTAGGAGCGAATGTAGATAACTTATCTACATTCACTGTAGAAACATTAAAGCCTTATATTATTGGACAAACTTGTTATGAATGACTGAATCCTCTTAACTACGCAATTAGATATGAGACTTTGATACAGATGTAAATAATTAAGAATTTGATTTGAAATCATTTAACTCAATTGTACCGAAAGAATTGGACTCCAAATTCAATATTATCACAAGCTACCAATTCCTTTAATTTTGAACTACAAAAGCTTTTTAAGTTACTTATTTTTTTATTAGAGTACAATTTTAAAGGGATACAGCTTGATATTTTTCTACATTGAAGAGCAGATAGATAACAATGACATATGGATTGAGTCTGAGTCATCAAACAGCTCCCACATGTCTTTCGCAATCAGATCAGCTACAATTTATTTATGCAAATTTCCTATGCTAGCCAAATCTAACATCTTCGGTAGGCATGAATTTACAATTGTCCATTTGTCCCCGTTAAAACCCTAACAGATTCCTTTCTTCCTTCAACTTTCCCTGAAACCCATCAAATCCCAAAATCCTATTCTCACTGACAACGTTCGCAGGACCAAAACAACCACCAATTGACCATTTAAGCCTCAACCTAATCACTGCTAAGCCTGCTTACTTTCACCTCTATCGAATAACCTTCCAATACACTTTTCTTGCTTTAATTCACCCTAGAAAAACCTTAATCCTTACCCATTAAAATCCATAACCTTCTGTTGTCCTACATCATAATCAATTCTACTATGCAACTTCCTTTCAGCAAAAAAGTTAAGTTCCAAGCTTCAGTTCAACGATCCATCTACAAGACCTCTAGCCAACGGAATACTGATAAGAGTTGAGGCCAGTTTTGGTTAAAGTGAGTTGTAGAACTATTGAACATTAACATTTAGGAATAAGGAAAAAAAATTGATAGGTAAAAGAGGCATGTTACATTGCAAGAGCAAGGAATATTAAAATAAAGAAATAAAAAGGGCAGCAGTAAAAGGAAAGGAAATGAAAATATCAAACAAGTACACCCACTGTCCAAAACAATGTGCAGTCTTTCTCAAGATGGTTTTTCATTCAGATATCAGGGGTTAAAAATATCAAAGCCTACAGATTGAAATCTGTAAACAGGTTAGGTACCATAAATCCTATTTTTCCCAATGCTTCTCTGTCCCACTTTTGCATTTTCCAAGAATTATGAATGTAGATAGCTTCTTCTAATTATATATTATGATGGCCCAACTTATTGTACACTCTATTTACATTGAAATAATTTATGACTTAGAAAATGCAGATTTGGAGGGCAAAAAACCCTCAAAGCATCATCCCAACCACTATAACTGGTATGTAATTTTGCTTTCAAATATACACAAAGAAGAGCAAGGGCGAGCCTTGTGACTGAAAGGTCACGACTGGTAAACAGCCTCTTGGCAAAAAATGCCAAGGTTCCCCCCTGCCCTCGCAAGTCGGGGAGCCATTTATTCCACGGTTTTCCCTTTTACAAAAAGAAGAGCCATCCCATTAAGCCCCTATTCTAACTCAATTTATTGCATCAGAAAAGAGGGAGAGGGAGATTAAAGGAAAATAAATATTTCTGAAACCTGCAAGAGCTTCTGAAGATTGGGTATGAGATAAATGAAGACTATGCTCCTCCTCATACAACCTCTTATACATTGCAACCTAGAAGAAGTGGGAATCATGAATACAAACACAGAGGTATAATAAATATTAACAAATCAAGGAGTTACAGCCTGTGGAGTTACAGAAAACCCATATCCCCTCCCCAGGTTGCAGACCTCTTGTTATAACCAAAACTAAAACTATATAAAAGCTTACAGATGTATGAAGAGATTCAATCATGTGCCCTTGCTCTTCTGCTCTTTGTAGCACAGCCGCAACTTTAGAAGCAGTTTCTTCAGTATGTTTTTTGAGCTCCATTTCAAGCTTCTCCTGCAATTTAATAGTTCAAAATAACAATAATAATTATTATTATAATGATAATCATCTGAGAGTCCTTGCAGGCTGAAGCATGAGGATGGTAAAAAAATTCTTTTCCAACCAACCTTGAATTCCACCTCCTGGTTTTCAATCTGGCCAGAAAGACTACGTACAAGGCTTCGAAGTTGGACATTCTGCTCAACTAGTCCATTAATATCCTTGAAGGTTAACTGCTTCCAAAATTTCAATTGAACCCATTTAAAATTGAAACAGACAAGTCCAACAAGAGAAAAAAATAAATCCAAAACAGCTTACAAGGTGTTCTGAGATGACATTTTCAGCTTCAGTCTGTATACTTGACCTTGAAGCAATATGTGAAGCATCATCAACAATATCATACCCAATTGACCCACAACGAAGTTGTATGTCTCGGCATTCCTTCAAAAGTACTGTCACCTGTAAAGAATCAATTATCAATTAATAAATTAATAATATAGGAAAATCGGTGAATGAACTGAACTACAAACAAGGCTAAGAAGATAAAAACAGCAATCATGATTTTGAAGACTAAATACAGTAAAACAAACAAGTTATTTTCATTCAAAGACAGTATTTTGGTGCAAAAAATTACTTCTTAACAAGCTGAAGGTTTCAGGCTTTAGCTTCTATACAAGCACCATAAAAGCAACTTCCATTGTAAACTTGAAGTTCTAATTCGTTATTTTTTTAGAAACAGCTTTCTTTAAGTTAGAAGTATTGAAATAGATTGATAAGAATTTCCACATCATTATAATAATGTTATGTAATGGTTATATTCACTCTATATAATAGAGCTTCTGTTGTCCTATTGACACAAATGGATTTAAAACATTGTCTCTCTTTTCCATGTCATTAAACATAGTATAAAGAGGTACCATCCTCCGTGACCTGCCTCATCTCATCATCGTTGCCATGTTCCCCTACCTTAATTATATTTTATGTCAACCTTCTCTCTTCAATTTCTTTTGCTGCATCTCAACAATCGTACTGATCATCGTCTGCCACTTCTCCTCGTGATCCTTTGCTGCCAGCCAACCCACTAGAAAAAAAATTCCAGCAACTTTTCAGGTGAACGAGAAAAAATTCTGGTGAGTTTTCAAGTTAGTGACCACCGGATCTGGAGCAACCCTCAAGTCCGGCGCATCCTCGCTGGGGAGAAATTTGGCACTTGCACACTAGTGCCATCGGATAGCCTCATATGTTGACTGTCCTAGTCGTTCTTCGTCCTAGATGCTCCTTGGTGCCAACAATTCTTGAAATGCAGCCCGGCTCATCAGAATCTTGTCCTAGCTACAAAACTGGCCCCATCAAGCTGTAGACGTGCTTTGATTGAGTCTTTTTATGTGGTTGAATTTCCAACTTCTGCTCTTCGTGAACTTGGAGAAGTTTTAGTTCTTGTCGTGTATCCTCACTTGAGAGGACATTTCTACCGATGATTATTCCAACAAATTCTCTTCTTCCTTTGTTATTCAATATTTTTCAACCAACTCTTCAGGCTAATGGTCATTCCAGTCACCTTGCAGCATTTGTCATTTCTCCGATGTCTCTAGCATTCCTAGGTCGATTTTGCAACCATATATTTTGGAACCCAAATATATTATTTGGTTAATTTTTTATTTGTAAGCATTCATTAGTGTTGAAATATATAAAACCATTTATGTAGCCTCACCCAATAGCTTAAGCTTTTGGGTTGAATTGATTCTTTACATGGTATCAGAGCCTCGGTGTACCGGGTTCGATCTTCACCGCCCCCACTTTCTTTCTAGTGAAATTTCTTTCTTCGCACAGGTAGGTGGGCCTGTGCATTATCTACCCTTCAAGCCCAGTGGGCTCTCGTGTGAGGGGGCGTGTTGAAATATATAAAACCATTAATGTAGCCTCACCCAATAGCTTAAGCTTTTGGGTTGAATTGGTTCTTTACAATTAGTAACAAGCTTAAAGCTTTAATAAGCTTTAGCATAAGGGGAAGTGTTAGAAGTATTGAACATAGGTTGGATGCTAACATCATGGCTCCTTTAGGAAGGAATGAAAAAGGATATCCAACGATAATTGTTGAATGTGATGTTCAATGCAATAAAGCCCAAACACTATCTTCGATACGGATGCTTAAGCCTTTACCAATTCCAACTCAAGTATGGGCAGATATCTCCACGGATTTTGTGGAAAGGATACCCAAATCCTATGGAAAAGACAGTATCTTGGTGATGGTCAATAGATTGACTAAATTTACTCACTTCCTACTCCTTAGACATCCTTTCACTGCCAAGGATGTTACAGACTAATTCATTAAAGAGATTGTGAGATTACAAGAATTACCCACTTCCATAGTTTCCAATCGGGATAAGATCTTTCTAGTCACTTCTAGACTGAGTTGTTTTGTAATGCCCATACAAAATTGAAGTACAACTCACCTTATTATCTGCAATCGATGGTCAAACTGAATAATATTTTCTGTCCTCTTCGTATTTCCCATTCTTTTGACACCAGTACATTACATAGTTATCATAATACTCACTTAAGATAGTTTGATCATTTGAAAGGAAGACCAAAATGAAGCATTCGTGAGAAAAGTGGACCAAATTTAAGAGTAGAAGACCACCTAGCAAAAGATTAGGAATAATACAAATTTTGATTAGCTTTATAGAAATTTAAAGATTAAGCTCCAAATGGTTTTATAGAAATTTTGGATTTTATAGAGCCTGCCTGCAGGATAGGCTTGATTGTTGTTGTTTCTCTTCCAAACAAAGCACATTTACATTTTCAGAGCCACTTCTTACAATGACAATAATAACAAAAAGACAAAGACTCCAAACAAAAATCAAGAATGGATAACTTGATGAAATACATATACTAAACATTTTAAACTACATGAAAAAAAGAGAGGATGTTTATCGCTTACCTGTTTTCGAAGGTCATCAATTTCTTTCTGGGCAATATCATAATGCCGTTCATTCCTTCTGAGGTCAGCCTGCACAAGATACACATAAGCAAATCCACATGCAACCCAAAAAAAAAAGGAACATGAAACTGTATTTTAAGTTGTAAACCTTCAGTTCAAGGATGATTTTCTCTAAGTTGGAATTTTCATTCAGGGAGTTTTGCAATTTTTGGTTCATCAAGCTGTATGCGTCAGCCATCTTTTCATGCTCCACTGCAAGAACAGCAGTATATTTATTTTAGTAAAAAATCTATGGCATTGATGATTAAGAATGTAACAATAACCCTGCTTGCAGAGCTTTTCCTCTAAGTAACATTGGACACAAATGATTTTTGCTTGAATATTCATCGTAACCGAATTATGAAAACTCCTTACACAGCACCTTAAAAATTCCAAAGTGAATCATAGTCCTTGTATATTTTACCCAAGGTGCAGTGCAAATAAAATCATTAGATAACAAAACTACCCCCATCAACCAAGCCCAATAATAGCAACCACCCACTATTGGTCCATTCACATTACATATATAATTAAAATAAAATGCAATAAAATCAAGATGCATATCTACATTTTCTTTTTTCTAGTGGAATTTAATGCAGAACAATAAGGACAACAATGTTGGAACAGTATTTAATGATATTTTGCTCTCTACGTTTACAGCTTATTTAGCCATTCAATCCAATAAAACGATATACCTCTTTCATCTATTATGGCTTCTGCTTTCTCCTCTAACTCATACAGAACCTGAAAAAGTTAATAGAAGATTGCATCATTTTTAACATAATATATATAAACTATCACCACCAGAACACAGTCGTAGTCGTGCTAAATCAATTCATCTCCAAATCCAGCAGAAAGGAAACAGTGTAAATTACAACCCAAATGCAAGTGAACCAAAGAAGGATTAGCCAATCAAATTATTCTCTTAGAAAACAATATATATCACAGGAATTCTTTAAACCAATTTTAGCCACCCAAAAAAAAAAAACAAAGAAGAGTTAACCAGATTTTTGGTCCTTCAAAAATACAAGTGTCATTAGTTCGGTCCTCCATTGATAAATACATCATGGGACTTTAGTGTCAATTTTTAGCATCAAATTGATCCCTTTAGGAAATTGGATCTCAAATAAATTGAAGCAAGTCAAACAAAAAAGGTTTAGCCAACCAAGTTATACTCTTAGAAAACACTATATACCACAGGAATTCATCAAACCAATTTTAGCCAACCAAAAAAAAACGAAGACGAAGAAGAAGAAGAAGAAGAAGAGTTAACCCAACTTTTTGTCCTTCTAAAGATAAATATATCAACATGGCATTTTAACGTCAATTTGTGGCATCAAATTGTTCCCTTTTGAAGGACCGTTTTAAAATTTAATGGTTGGAGGACCAAACAGATGAACCTTTTATCCTTGGAGGAAAGGAACAATCGGGTGTTTACTCAAAAATTAAAGGTGAAAGGAAATACATTCTTTTGAAATGCTTGTTACATACATATAATTAATTATTCAAATAATTACAGCCACCCATTCCATGAAAATGCTTCTTATTTGTCATAAATAACTTAAAGCATTGCAGTCAATTTCCCCATTAACAAATTAAGTAACGAACATACATGAAGATAAATTTAAGAAATGTGTTGTCATATTACCCTCCCCTTGAGGTTATATATAAAAGGATGCACCAGGTCAACCATACCCGTTGCAAAATTGTCTCTGACTCCTTCCTGCCCAATTGTTCATGTCTCAATGCATCAATAGCCTCTTGGTATTTCGCATACATTTTGGCCAACTTCAAAAGATAGAGGTATACAGAAATAAGATTTATTTATGTAAATCAAATGGAAAAATAGTGCCAGTATTAAAAGTAAAACTTTAATAACTCACACTCCAACCATCTCGCAGGAGTGAAGCAGCTAATGCTGTTCCAGAAACACCAACAGGAATTTTCGGTACTAGCATGCTATTTTCGTCAAACATGCTATCAGCATCAATTGATGTCAGCCACCTGTCAAAAGGAAAAACAATGGCCTGCATGTTACATCTTGAATATGGGCATGATTAAGCACATTTTCATAATTTGAATACATTAAAAAAAAAAAAGTTCGAAAGAGGTACAACTACATATGCTAATTTCACATAAAATGTCAAAATGAAACGTAAAATTATCTTTCTGTACTACTGCCTCCACAGAGAATTCCTACCAATCGAGAATGAAAACTGATATGATATTCAATTACGTATCCTGATTTTGCACGAAATGACAATTAAAAATAAATTATCTTCCTCTACCCTTTAAAGAGAATTCTATCCACCAAGAATGAAAACTTTTAAGATATCAGAATTATTAGGTTATAAGTATTATTGTAATAGTAGAAGACCTGGGCTAGTACTATTATTAGAGTACTGGACAATCATCGTTTCAGTTTACTATTGATAGCTGTTTTTCTCCTTTTCCCTTCTTCCCCAAACATGAACCTATAATTCTTAACATAGTATCAATGTAATATCATCCACCTTGAAGGGTTATAAAACTCCTATGAAGGTATATCAAAGTAGGCATTGTACGGGATTAATTGGAGAGGGTGACTCCTATCAATATAATTCAAAGTTTTGACTCCTAAGGTGAGTCAACACTACATGTTCTAGCCTTTTGCGCAAAAGATTAGGGAGGTTCTTCGAAAAACATATTCCATGAAAAAGGGTATCGCAACTTGTTATGAGTTAAAGAACCATATTTTTTCTACCAAACATGGCCCTCTTTATGTGATAGAATACTATGGCATTAAAAATAGCCTATGGATTGAGTTACAGTAACAAAACTTGAAGATGAAATGCAATGAGGACACTACCACCATGGCAACCATTGCTGGACGGGATATGATCTTTGAGTTTTTCTTAGAGCTCAACTTGGAATATGATCCCATTTGAGTCTAGATATTAGGTAAGGAAAGGTTACCATCTCTTTATGAAGTGTTTCAAACTGTTAGAAGTGAAGAAAGTAGCATGTCAATTATGATGAACCAAAGCCTACTGAGGTGTGGCCTCTGATCTTGTCTAAATCCATTATAAATTAGAAGTCATGTCAGTTGTAACACTCTTAAATTGAATCATAATTATATTATAGCATATTTCTTAATTTTGAATATATATATATATATATATATTTAAATTTTATTTTCATCCTTTTTTCCCTTAATCTTTTCGTATTTTTCATTTGCATTCATCTGCCAACTACTTTGGGATAAAGGTGATGTTAATGTTGATATATATATATATATTTGAAGTGAAAAATATTTACAATTAATAACAATACAAATAATTAATAATGATACAATATGAAAAATATTTTATTCATCATATAATTTACACCTTCAACAAAATTTCTCTTTTGTTTTCATGTATTCATTGCACCTTCAACGAAATTTCTCTCTTTTATTTTATAATAAATAATTATTATAATATTTTATTATTAATGTAATTATTTCAATAGTAAGAACTTTCCTATAGAGGTTATGGGTTCATTATCATGGCTTAAAAAGGAAAATAATTTACATAAATAACAGAGAGAGAGAGAGAGAGAGAAAGAGATGGGTCTTGGGACTTTTGGATAAAACTCTACTGGGGGGAAGGAGAGAAAGAAGAGAAATTTAGTATGAAAGCTTTGACAACAAGAATAGATAAAAGTGAATACTTATTTCTTTTAGAATATAAATTCCATGACAATGTTATTTTTTGTTAATTTATTTTATATCTTATATTCTTCCCTTATCTTATATTTTATAAACTCCAATTCCTTTTATATTATATTTGTGCAATTTATATTTCAGCACCTTATAATTGTGTGTGTAAATATACATTTGCTAATTATATTTCAACAATTACATATATGTATTCTAAGAGAGGGCGAGCTTGGAGCAATTTTGTGATCACAGGTTTGAATCCGAAAAACAACCTCTTAGCAATTATGCAAGACTAAGATTGCATACAAGGATTGTCCTCACCCTCACTAGTCGGGGTTTAATGGAAAGTGTTTTTTTTTTTTCCTCGTATATGTATTCTAATTTATATTTCAGCAAATTTAAAATTTTGTAATTTAAAATTACCATAAATATATATATGTGTAGTAACATATACATTAATAATACCGTATATGTGAATATCATATATAATATATTTAATAGGATTTATATTTCTACTAGTTCTTTATATTTATTTATATGTTATGTCATTAATATTTATCATTAAAAAAATAAATCACCACCATAAATTTTATATGGTAAATTTTATATAATAAATTTTGTATTAGAAAAGTTTGTATAAAATGAAGTAATTCAAAGGAGCAAAAAGGTTACGAAAGCCATACGGTTCAGAAGCGAAACTGCTGAGTGAAAGATTGCTCAGCTCATTCCTCTTCTTCCTTGTCTCAATTTCAGCTTCACACTTCTCAAGCTTTTCTTTCAAATCAGCAGCCTCCTAAAAGCATCCAAATAGATATAAAGCATGATTACTTGCACATTTGAGTACATAACATATTTTAAGTACATAACATATTTTGATTACTTGCACATTTGAGTACATAACATATTTTGAGTAGATATCTACCCATCAATAAAATGGGAGCAAGAGCAACCCAATGTCATCCAAATATTCACCATCTTTAAGCATGATCAATAATAACCTAAAACATTTTCCATCTTATAGACCCATACTGTCTGATTTTTAAAGTAGCAAATTTGAAGTTCCAAAATATCAACTAATTTCACATAAGGAAAGAAAGTAATTAAGCACTGAACATTAACAAAATGATACGTGACTGACAAAGAATAAAATACCTTTTCAACCTGTTTTCTAACAGATAATTCCTTCTCAAGTTTCTCTTTATAATCATCTTCGACTTGCTTTAGTCGTGACTGTTTAAAACACAAGTAACATTAAAAAAACAAAAATCCAAGTGCTCTAATTTCTAATTTGACAAATTTCAAAAATTAGAAAACAGCATAATAACAAACAAACTTCACCTCCATTGCTTTTAACACACCCTCTAGGTCTGCTGCTTTTCTTGACCATTCATCAGAACTCTCTTTATAAAGCTCATTAAGTTTGTTAACCTAAAAATAGGACATATTCAAAATTAAAATACATAATAAAATACACAACAAATAAAGCTAAAAGAGATCCATAAAGTCAAACTCAAACAATACACTAATATAGTGAATAGGAATTTGAGAAAGCTTGAGCTGGATTTTGAGAATGCTTAAATTTGGCTGAGTTGGATTCAAATACACTCACAGTGGAAAGTTCAGCAGATAATCGCTCTTCATTGGCTGCAGCAGAATCTTTAGCTGAAATTAATTCCTAAAAACATAAAAAAAAAAAATCAATCATGCAGGTTTAGCGATAAAAGGAAACCATGCATCATATTTCAAGATGATGAATAGAACATTTTGAACCTCTTGCACAGATTTAAGCTTCATTTCTAGCTCCCTCACTCTATCCTTATTCCACTGTAGAGATTTGGAGCATTCACCAAATTGTCTCTCCATCTAGAAATTTTGACAATAAATCAAACAACATTAAAGCAGAGAAATGAAAACAAATTAAAATTCAAAAAATTAATTAATTTTCTATAACAATATTAAACTCACTTACATCTGCAAGCTTGGAAGACATATCGGCATCCAGTTCTGCGTGTTTTCTGCGCAGCTCAAAGAAACTGTTGATTTTAGTAGTCAACTCCTCATTAAACCAAGCATTCTGCCTCTCAACAATCTCTTTCTCCTGCTTACACACATTACAAGATTATAGTGAAAGATAAAACGCCAAAGTTCACTTCAGATGAAACAAGAAAATGTCCAGAGCATAACAGTAGCAATAGATATGCAGAGCCACTTTCCATTTCGGACAATGGCAAGGTAGACCAGCCCATTTGAAATGTTAAATGTTGTTTACTGCTATTATACGTCATGACTATGATCCATTCAAAAATGAATCATTTAACGCATAAAACAGCAAGTAAGTGAAGGATTCTAGTACCACTAGTATTCTATTCAGGCATAAGAACAAAAGCAAAATCAATGGCAAGTTATAATAAAAGAAAAAACCTAATAAAAGACCTGTTCAAGGCGGGTGCAAGCAGCACGGCATCGAGCCAATTCCGCCTCAACTTCATTCAAACGGGCCTCTTTATGGGCAGCATTTTCAGTCAGATGGAGCTACAACAATTCCATTGAAACACAACAAAAGACAGCAACATCATTACAAGGCCTTAACCTAAGAAACAAAACCAACAACAACAACTAAAAGAAACTCACAATCTTATCAAGATAGCTCTTGATATTGGCATTCTTCTCACTAAGCTCCAAATCCTTCTGCTCGTTCAACTCAAGCAACTGCCTCTTCGACTTGTGCAGCTCGCCCACCTCCGTCCTTAACCTCTCTATCTCCCTATCCTTCTCAACCTACAAAACCACAAACCATCAAATCACAACAAGAAGAAGAAGCAAGCACCAGCAGAATCATTTCTCAACGTTTCGAAGCGGTGACGATTTCGTACCGATTGCAATCGAATTTGGTGGTTCTGAGATTGTGCTTCGGAGAGCTCGCGGAGGCGATCATCGAGGGAAGATTGGAGTTCGGAGACCTGCGACTCGAGCTTGGAAAACTCGGCCGCGAGGGAGAGATACTTCTGCTCGATAAGGGAGCAGTTCTGCTCGGCGTTGATGTCGGCCGCGTCGGCCTTGGCGCGGACGGTGTCGAGCTCGTGGAGGAGGCCGCGGATGAAGGCGTCGGCCTTGGCGGCGACGGCGGCGGTGTCGCCGGAGCACCGCGAGAACTCCTCGTCGGAGATAAAAAGGGGCATCTCGAATGAGAACCGCGATGCCCTAATCGAAGAGGAAAGAGGGACGTGAGAATTCGAAGAGGAAACCGAAACGCAGGGATTATAGAAAACAGAGAGAAATTATGGAATGGGCTCGAGGCCCAGTTTGAATTTATATTAAATAAAGAAAATTGCTTATTTCAACATGTGTTCGAATCTCTCCAGTACCATCTTTGGGAGGGGTTTAAAGTCTTAATCCTGGACCATCCTCGAATCGGATTAGTTGCAAAGCAATGAAGAAATATTTCAAAAAAAAACATTTAATTAAAAAGGTGTTACATCATTTTACCTCTATATATATTTGTATATAAATAATGAAAACAACGTTGCTTTTTTGTTTTGTTTTAGTAAATACAAAATGTTGTTTTAAGTGATAAGTGGAAAATGCATACTGATGTTCTCTTCTTTTTTTTTTTAAATAAATACACAAATTTGTTTTAAGTTTTAACCATTTCCTATAGAAATCTCTACAAAACGAAAACTGCATGGGGAAGTACGAAGAGTCTTATGTTAATTACTGGCTTTGGAGAAAGAAAAAAAAAGTCAATAATGAAACTACTAGGTATTTAACCGACAATCCAAGTTTTTTTCTTCTTGATTTTCTTATGTATCCCTCACCAAATACAATGCATTATATATATATATATATATATATATATATATATATATATATAGGGCAATGTTAATCTTATGCAACATAAAAATTTTCTTATCTTCTACTCATACATTGATACTTGTGTCATTTCTTTTTTTATTCTTTTCTTTTCTTTTTTATTGGGCCCCACTTCAAGTTAAGTGTGTGGGAGATAAAAAAAAAATTCTGTCACATGAGAGTATATTTACCCACATATATATATATATATATATATATATATATATATATATGGACAGGATATTCTTACACCGATGTAAGAGTTAGAAGTCTTACACTCAATCTTGACCATTGATCCACTTGTATCCAATGACTTACATTACTAAAAAATTAGAGCCCTTTAGATATAAGTGGAATCAACGGACAAAATCAAGAGTGTAACTTACACTGGTGTAACATGATCCTGTAAAATGATCCTGACCTATATATATATATATATATATATATATATATATATGTTTGTTGGTGTGAGTTATTATTTATACTTATGCAATTAAGCTAATGAATGGACTTTAGATATTACCACATTCAACTTCAATTATGAAGTGTTTGTTAGAATATTAAACTTAATAACTCAAATATTTGTCAACTTTTTAACTAATATATATGTCACAAATACACACTCCCTAGAAAGTCAATTTAGGGGCAACTATAGATGTAGATATTAATCTACATGGAATTATAAGAACCTTTTTTTGTGTGAATAAATATAAAAACACATTACTTGCTAATATAAAATATTGATAGTTAAAGGAGGTAAAATGGGCTCGGCATAAAGGGCCGGTGTAAGAACCTGCACCGTTAATTAAGGGAATTAATTAATTTTATATGCAAAATTAGGAAATAATTCCATAATTGACCCAAATAATTATTATGTGGATTAATTGAGTATGATAAGTGATTAAGAATGCAGAAAGTCACTTTTCGGAAGGAAAGTGCAGATACCGGTTCTGCTAGTCAGTATAAATGTGTACCGAAAAAGTATCCCGGAAAATTATTATAAGTGCATGATAATTCCTAGAATAATATATAGGACTTCTAAAACGAGTTTCAAGTTAAAATAATGAGAACTGGTGCCAGAAATTGATACTGGCTATGAAAAGCGCGTACCGGAAAGGTGATCCGAAAAATATAATAAAAATATGATAATTCTTGTAAAATTGAGTAGGTTAAGAATTCAAAGTTTGGGATTAAAATGCTAAGCGTAGCAATTAAAGTTAATATTGTGTGTTATTTTCTTAAGTGGCCTATATATACACTTATGTTGGGCACAAAACCCTAGAAACCAGAATTTCTACGTGAATGTCTTCTGAACTTTGAGCCTCCAAGCTGCCACCTTGCTCTCCTCCATGAAAACTCATCAAAGAACCACCTTTTCTCTTTGTATCTTCTTCTTTTTGTGCTAAACACTTGGGTGTGAGTTTGGTGACGGAGAAAGGTGCCATCTTCTGAGTTTTTGGGTGCTGTTTAGTGGTGGTCCAGGGGCTGACTTCATGGTGAGGGTTGAAGGAACCATTGTTATGGTGTTTTGATAACTTCAAGAAGCTATCTTGTGAAGAAAAGAACCACTCTTGTTCACCATTTTCGTTTCTCTTAGAAGTCAGAACTTGGGAGCTGTTGTTTCATCCTCTGTTTTGAGCTTGTGGTATGATCATCACACTTGAACTTGAGTTTTTATGATTAAAAGATGTGTCTTGGTATGTTTAATGAGTTAAGCAAGTAACCAACTGTCATATGAACCTAAATGGACCTTAAGATGCATGTTTAAGCTTCTGGAAGTGTTAAAAAGGGAACCTTTGGTTTGGATTTTCGCGAAATGCAGAATCTGGGTTCTGTCGCAAAATATCCGGATATTTCGTTGTGAATATCCGGATATTGATATCCGGATATGGGTATCCGGATATTGATATCTGGATATGGGGATCTGAATATCCGGATATGGATATCCGGATATTGGAAGAGAAATATCCGAATATTGATATCCGGATATGCCCCCGACGAATATCCGGATATTCTGGGATTTCGAAGAACAATAGCTGCATTGTTCATACAGTAGGCTATTGGGGGTTTGTGGACCCTAGAGTGATGAAGTTGAACTTCTGTTTTAATTGAACTAAGTCAGAATCAAGTGATTAAGGGCTTATGGCTTTGTGGGAAGCCTTAAGACGTAAAACGTAAAAGGAAAACGTAGTCTTTATGTTTATGCTTTTAAGCTATGAATGTTGATATGCTTGCTGGTCCTAATCAGATTGTGATCTGCTGTGTGTTGGACTTGAGCTGTGTGGACTCTTGGCATTGGATAGCGAGCTTGCAAGGTAAGCTTTCGTGTCCTCGGTTTAGCCATGTTGTGGTTCCACCATGTCCCATGGGGGTATGGTTATATGCATGATGTGTTACATGCTTTTGATGTTTTGGAAATGCTGTTGAGCTGTTATATGCTAGTGCCTTTATGATATGCATGTGGTGTTCCACCTATACGGTAAGCCTGAGTATGTGGTACATACAAGATGGTGAGGCTGTGGGTGAGGTGCAAGCGGTGTTCCTTGTACTACGTGTGGGTAATAGACGTATTCCTGCATTTCTCTGGCCAATAGAATAGTATTGACACACATGGCATGAGTATCTGTTGCACTGCATTGAGTTTTGAGAACTTATATTGAATTACTGCTTTTAGAACTTATATTGCACATGTAAGTGAGCTTGGGGTGGAAGATCCTTGAGGACCCTTTGTCTTACTGAGATTTCTGGTTTAGAGATCTCACCCCACGTTTGGGGAATGCTTATTTCAGGTTCAGGTAATGTTGGGGTTGAGACCTCGGGCGGTAGGAGGCCGGAGCTGAGTTTGATATTGCTATTATTATATGCTGACTTGTTGGATGCTGGTTATGCATGCTGCTTTTATGCTTTTAGCTTCAGTTTATGGATTTATATGTTGAGACTTTGTTGGTTATGCTGTTGATTTGGTGAGCATGGGGATTGTCCATGCCACTTAGACTTGATTATGTCTTGTTTTATTTGGAGTTGTATTAATGTATCAGGATACTGTCTGAATTATGTGTTGTAGTTCTGTGACTTAGATACTCACATTTATATCTATATTTTGAGGTATTTCAGTTAGATGTCTTATTGCAATTTACATACAGGCGATATTTTATGAAATTGATTAAGTAATCAACTTGGCTAAGTATAATGACGTCATAATTGAAAAGAAAAAGATATTCCGCATTTTTAATTAAGCCCAGCTTAATACGATGATATGTTAACATACCGGGTATACACGGGGTGTTACATTTTATGGTATCAGAGCAATGGTTCTAGGGAAAAGCCTGTATGTATTGCAATGATTAGGATGTTTGGTTGTGTGTTTGCTCCGTTGGGTTTTGTTATGATGATGCATATGTAATCACACGGCGTGGGCCTGATCAACTCATAAATTGTGTAACTTGTGCAGAGTTGATGTGCCTTCAGCACATGGGTAAATTCAAGCCAAAAAGAGAAAGATTATGAGTTAATTCTCAGTAAAAAGGCAACGTTTAGTGTTGCTTTGCTTAAATTCCAATTTCAGAATTATACAACTGATTTTATGCTTAACTTGTAGGAAAAGCAAACAAATCTGGAGCAAAATGAGGATTTGCCAAAGTAAAGACCCACACTCACACTCACAGCGTGGATGTCACGCTGGTAGCGTGGAAATCCAGAGGCAACCACGCCCACAACGTGGATTCCACGCTGATAGCGTGAAAAATCTCCTTCTTCCCACGCCCACAGCGTGGATATCAAGCTGACAGCGTGGGCATCCAGAGGCATCCACGCCCACAGCGTGGATCTGACGCTGAGAGCGTCAGCGTGCGAGATTGCAATTCTGTTTTGTCTAAAAGGGTAAACTTGGAAGACTTAAAAGAGTATTATAAAAAGGAGGCTCGGTACAGAATTAGGGATCTAGACCGAGGAGACCGTCGTGCTGAAGGAGAAGAGCTTCGGAGAAGAATTCTTGATCATCTTCATTCTTTCATCTCTCATTCTTTAATCTCTCATTCTTTCATCCCAATGAATATTGAATATTGATTTATTAGCTATGAATATGGTTGGCTAAGTTTTTCTTTATTGTAGTTAGGGTCACAAACCTTATGTGAAACCTTGTTACGAAGGATTGGTTTATTTTCTCCCGTTTATATAAATTTCTTTATCATTACTTTGTGCGTAATTCCTATTTTCTTTATTAGAATTGATCACTCTAATAGTTGATAATAGTATGAGGGTTAGAACCCTATATAGGAATATTAGGGTTCTCATCTTGAAAGGGGGTAAGATAACGATTAGTATGCATGCTAGGAATAGATGTATGTTAATTGCGGATGTTTTAATTATCGTATTCATTGCTTAATTCTCATGAGGGATTACTAAGGGATTAGGATTCCAACTGAGGTTAAAGGGTTAAATTACCATGGGATTGGAATTTAACTAATTATTTTAGATTATATTTATCTGAGTTTTTATATAAATAAGTGTTTTTAAATCAATCCAAAGTAATAAGCGGGGATCATATGGTGAGTGTTTCCTAGCTTCAATACTCTTCTCATATTTACAAATCTCTTTTCATTGTTGTTATAATCTCATTCTTCATCACAGAAAAATCATAAAAACAAGTCTTTATTTTTAGTCCTCATATTCACACCAATTGACAATACTTGTCAAAACCGTTTAAACTCATCCATTCTTTAAAGGAATATTAATTAATATAAGATCACAATCCTTGTGGAGACGAACATTATTTATCACTTTATTACTTGTGCGATCGATATACTTGCCGGGAAGCATCAAGTTTTTGGCGCCGTTGCCGGGGATTGGCGTTTCTTATATCAATTGATTTTGATTTTAAGATTGGATATTTATTTTTATTTTTGAATTTTTTGTGATATTTGGAGCAAGTGCTACTAATCTCTTTTCTAAGTTGTATGCGAGGTAAAGAGCCCGAGTTTCCACTTGATTTGGAGATCACAAAAACAGAGAAGAAAAACAGAAAATTTGCTCGGAAGAAGCTTGCATTCAAAGAGTTAGATATTATGCTAGAAGAAGATAAAATGGCAAACAACAATGATGCTGACAATCCACTCATGGACACTATTCTGACTCCATTATTCAACAGACCCAATGCGAGCATTGTCCATCCTGAAGTGGGCAACAATCATTGGGAGCTCACTTCCGATAATATTCGATTGGTAGAGAAAGCACAGTTTGGTGGAGAGGATGATGAAGACCCTCATAGATTCATAAACAGATTCCTGATGATCTGTGATTCTACAAAACATCCTCAAGTTTCTAATGATGCAGTCCGGCTGAGACTATTTCCTTTTGCTCTTAAAAGAAAGGCTCTTAGTTGGTTGGAAAGGCAACGTGCAGCAAGCATCTCAACCTGGGATGATTTATCACAGAAGTTCTTTGCTCAGTTCTTCTCGATGGAGAAGTATAACCAGATGGTGAATGATATCACCAATTTCACTCAATCAGAGGGTGAATCAATGTGTGAAGCATAGAACCGGTTCAAGGACTTGATGAGAAGGTGTCCTCAGTATAACTTGACTGCTGGTAGTCAGGTTAGAATCTTTTTCAATGGTTGCAAACCTGAGATTCGGATGGTGCTAAATGGTGCAGTAAGGGGCACTATTAAAACTCTAAGAGCAAATGAGACTCTTGAGTTGATTGAGAGGATGGCTGCCAACTAAAACCAAGCATTGTCATCCAAGCCTAAAAGAGGTATTCTTAAACTGGAAGGCAATGATGTGGTGATTGCTGAAAATAGTTTGTTATCTCAGCAGGTAGCAAACTTGACATCAAGGCTTGATAAGATGCAATTTTCTAGCGTCCAAGCTCAAGCTGCAGCAGTTGTCTGTGAATATTGCAAAGAAGATCATGAATCCAATGAATGTCCTACTCTGCTAGCCGATGATCCTCCTCAGCAAGTACATGTAAATGGTGTGTGGTATGATCAGAGACCCTCACCACAAAATGTTCCAAGAACTCAGAATTTTCCTTCTGGGAACAATAACTTCCAAAGGAGGGTGCAAGGTACTGGTCTTGACTTCAAGTCTAATAACTATTTGCAGCCACCGCCGGTTCAACCGAAGGAACCTTCTGAGTTAGAGAAGCTAATGGGACAAATGGCCCAACATTCCAATGCTTTTATGGAAGAGACTCGGGCAAACACTAGAAACACACAAGCCTCTATCAGAAATTTGGAGAACCAGATTGGCCAGATGGCTAAACAGATGGCCGAAAGAACTTCAGGCACTTTTCCTAGCAATACAGTCACTAATCCGAAGGATGACAGTATGGCTATAACTACAAGAAGTGGCAAGGTGGTGGCAGCTCCAACAAAGCCAACCACAAATGCGGACGCTACTGGAAAGGGTAAGGAGGTAGAAGAAGAAGTGGTTATTCCTTCTGATGCTGAGACACCTGTTCAGAAAGGTGAGGAAGGGGAGCCACAAATAACTGTTGCTGAGAAAAAGAAATTCGAGCTGAAGCCAGAATATGTGAGAGCTATGGCACCTTACCCAGAAAGGTTTAAAAAAGACGCTCAGAAACAGCAGTATGCAAGATTCTTAGATATCTTCAAGAAGCTGCATATAAATATTCCTTTTGCTGAAGCCTTGGCTGGCATGCCAAATTATGCAAAATTCATGAAGGACTTGTTGTCAAGGAAACATAAGCTACAGGAGTGTCAAACAGTAACACTCACTGAAGAGTGTAGTGCCATTATACAAAAGAAGTTCCCACCTAAACTCAGTGATCCAGGAAGCTTCAATATTCAAATTGCTATCGGTAACACTGATGTTGGCAGAACACTATGTGATCTTGGGGCAAGTATTAATATGATGTCGTTATCTGTTTGCAAATCTCTGGGAATTACTGAGTTAAAACCCACTATGGTTTCTCTACAACTTGCTGATAGATCTTTGAGGAGACCAAGTGGTATTATTGAAGATGTGCTTGTCAAGGTGGATAAGTTCATCTTTCCAGCTGATTTTGTGGTATTAGATATGGAAGAGGGTACTGAAATGCCCCTATTATTGGGAAGACTTTTCTTGGCAACTGCTCGAGCCATGATTGATGTTGAGAATGGCAGGTTAGAGTTAAGAATGAATGATGAGACTATCACCATCAATGTTTTTGACTCTATGAAAAAATCTTCTGATAAAGGCGATTGCTTTCGTCTTGATATTCTAGATCAAGTAGTGGAAGAAGAAGTATTTTCCATTCAACAACATGAGGAAGAGCTTCAGGTGCATGAAATGGTTCCTTTCAAGGAAGAAAAAATGAGTTATTTGAAGTCCTTGAAACGAAAGATTCTGACAAGGAAAAGGGCACACCAAAGGTAGAGTTGAAGGAGCTTCCAGAAACTCTCAAGTATATCTTCTTGGGTGAGAAGGAGACTTACCCTGTTATCATTAACAAGGGATTGTCTTCTGAACAAGAAACGAAACTGGTTGAGGTGTTGAAAGAACACAAGACAGCCATAGGGTGGTCAATTTCTGATTTAAAGGGTATTAATCCCTCATTCTGTACACATAAAATCCTCATGGAAGATGAGGTTCGGCTAGTGAGATAGCCTCAAAGGAGGCTTAATCCAACAATGAAGGAAGTTGTAAGGAAAGAAGTTGTGAAACTTCTTGATACTGGCATGATTTATCCAATTTCGGATACTGCTTGGGTGAGCCCAGTGCAGACTGTTCCGAAAAAGGGAGGTATCACAGTAGTTCACAATGAGAAAAATGAGCTGATTCCAACTAGAACCATTACTGGTTGGAGAATGTGTGTGGACTACCGAAGACTAAATACAGCTACAAGGAAGGACCACTTTCCACTTTCTTTTGTTGATCAAATGTTGGAAAGATTGGCAGGTCACAACTATTACTGCTTCTTGGACAAATATTCTGGGTACAACCAAATTCCAATGGCACCGGAGGACCAAGAGAAAACAGCTTTCACCTGCCCTTTTGGAGTTTTTGCTTATAGGCGAATGCAATTCGGTCTATGTAATGCACCTGCTATATTTCAAAGGTGCATGCTCTCCATCTTTTCTGACATGGTGGAGAAAAACCTGGAGGTATTTATGGACGACTTTTCTGTTTTTGGCTCTTGCTTTGATTTATGTTTGCTAAATTTAATTCATGTGTTAAAAAGATGCCAAGAAACAAATCTTGTACTAAACTCGAAAAAATGTCATTTTATGGTACAAGAGGGAATTGTTTTAGGACATAAGATATATGAAAAAGGGATTGAGGTAGATGAAGCTAAATTGATGTTAATTGAGAAATTACCTCCCCCTAATACAGTGACTAGTATTAGAAGTTTTCTAGGACATGCTGGGTTTTACAAGAGATTTAGCTTCTTCGACTAGTATAGTTTGTTGCTAGGGACAACAACATTCTAAATCTGGGAATTGGGTTGCATACTGTTATATGCGAGACCTGCTAACTGCGGAACACAACAGAAAGGAAACAGAAATTCTATCTGGAAAAAGGGAGATACTTCAACTTTTGTTGTTATTTAAAATTTTCAAATTTCTTTATCATAATATATATATATATATATATATATATATATATATATATATATATATATATATATATATATATATATATATATATATATATATATATATATTGAATTCCTGTACAAGCAATCTCAGGTTTGACAAGCTGGCTTAGACTTATTGTGAACTGAATCATTAAGAGCATGATATCTGTGAAGTATTAATGTGTTTTATATAATCTGAGAATGATGTCTGCTTGTTTGTATAACTGTTCTTTGGTAAAAAAAATTGAAATAATTCTTGCTGTGAATTCTGGAAATTAGATTCTAGTTTGAATTACAGCTGTGAGGATTGAGCCTAAATAGAATTAATTATTCAGAGAGGCCTCACTGTAGTAGTTTTTCTTGAACTTGAATTGTTTCTCTGGCTTGCATGCATGACTGATATGATAAGGGCATTTATTCTTGTTATCTTAGAGCCAAATAGCCTACCTAGAAGATTATCCATTGTTAAACCCCTTTGAGCCTGAGACCAATTGTTCAAACACCTATTGAATGTTGCTTAACTATGTTCCATTGACACACCTTGAGAGAGATTGAAATGCTAATTACAAAAACAAAAATCAAGGTTCTTTTCAGAGAAGAAAAAGTTAAGTAAGAGAAAAAAAAATGGTCTGAGAAGTTAAAATATAGCTCAGAAGAGAAAAGAAAACAAAAAGAAGAAATGTAGTAAAAAAGGGAAAAGAATCCCAAAGATGTCAAAATGACAGAATTGAAGAGCTGAGAAAGAATGAATGTTAAAAAAATCTTAGGATTTCAGTCTCTCCAAATTAATCAGCCTCTAACCAAAAGATTCTTACCCCAAACCAGGCCAAGTTACAACCTATCAAAGGCCTTTTGACCAGTCTATGCATGGCAAATGGGTTCTTCACTTTTAAGAACTTGAGAATATGTTCAAGATCATAGAATTGCTGCTACATTGATGGAATGAGTGCAAAAACCTCAGACACTGAGTGATGAGAATGTATTTATCTGGTGAGGAATATTCAAACTAGAATCTAAGATCTTGATACAACTGAAGAGCATTAGTGTGAATTTTATACAAGACAGTTATACATGCATAGCAGTTTGATTACTTGAGATGTTTATGATCATGTGTTTCTTCACAGAGTTAATCTTGCTCTTCTCTTTAAATCCATTACATTGCTGAGGACAACAACGTTCAAATCTGGGAATTTTTTGATGTGCCTTCAGCACATGGGTAAATTCAAGCCAAAAAGAGAAAGATTATGAGTTAATTCTCAGTATAAAGGCAACGTTTAGTGTTGCTTTGCTTAAATTTCAATTTTAGAATTATACAACTGATTTTAAGCTTAACTTGTAGGAAAAACAAACAAATCTGGAGCAAAATGAGGATTTGCCAAAGTAAAGACCCACGCTCACAACATGGATGTCACGCTGGTAGCGTGGGAATCCAGAGGCAACCACGCCCACAGCGTGGATTCCACGCTGATAGCGTGAAAAATCTCCTTCTTCCCACGCCCACAGCGTGGATATCAAGCTGGCAGCGTGGGCATCCAGAGGCATCCACGGCCACAGCGTGGATCTGACGCTGAGAGCGTCAACGTGCGAGATTGCAATTCTGTTTTGTCTAAAAGGGTAAACTTGGAAGACTTAAAAGAGTATTATAAAAAGGAGGCTCGGCACAGAATTAGGGATCTAGACCGAGGAGACCGTCGTGCTGAAGGAGAAGAGCTTCGGAGAAGAATTCTTGATCATCTTCATTCTTTCATCTCTCATTCTTTCATCCCATTGAATATTGAATATTGATTTATTAGCCATGAATATGGTTGGCTAAGTTTTTCTTTATTGTAGTTAGGGTCACAAACCTTATATGAACCCTTGTTACGAAGGATTGGTTTATTTTCTCCCGTTTATATAAATTTCTTTATCATTACTTTGTGCGTAATTCCTATTTTCTTTATTAGAATTGATCACTCTAATAGTTGATAATAGTCTGAGGGTTAGAACCCTAGATAGGAATATTGAGGTTCTCATCTTGAAAGGGGGTAAGATAACGATTAGTATGCATGCTAGGAATAGATGTATGTTAATTGCAGATGTTTTAATTATCGTATTCATTACTTAATTCTCATGAGGGGTTACTAAGGGATTAGGATTCCAACTGAGGTTAAAGGGTTAAATTACCATGGGATTGGAATTTAACTAATTATTTTAGTTGATATTTATCTGAGTTTTTATATAAATAAGTGTTTTTGAATCAATCCAAAGTAATAAGCGGGGATCATATGGTGAGTGTTTCCTAGCTACAATACTCTTCTCATATTTACAAATCTTTTTTCATTGTTGTTACAATCTCATTCTTCATCACAGAAAAATCATAAAAACAAGTCTTTATTTTTAGTCCTCATATTCACACCAATTGACAATACTTGTCAAAACCGTTTAAACTCATCCATTCATTAAAGGAATATTAATTAATTTAAGATCACAATCCGTATGGAGACGAACATTATTTATCACTTTATTACTTGTGCGATCGGTATACTTGCCGGGAAGCATCAAGAGTCATGGTAGGATCCAGGAGAACACGGGAGACTGATAAGGGTCAACCCGACCCGGTCCTGGCTGCATTAGCTGAGATGCAGGCAACCCGACAAGCTGACCAGGAGGCCATGAGAATGGCAAATCAGCCCATGTTGGACGCTGTCCGATAGGCGAACAGGAAGGCCACTGAGGATGTGTTGGAGGCCAACCGTCTGGCGAACATGACGATGATGAAAGTCATGTTAGAGGAGTTGAGGGCTGGTCCTGCTATCGGCCAGTTTCCTCTGCCACCACCTCCACCGCCTCCGCCTTCACCTAGTCTGCAGGACGACAGTCAGAGCCAGATGGGTGATGGCAGTCACCTTACGGGGGCCATGCAGACCGTCCCTGTTTTTGTTGAGGATCGAGATGAGATCGATTGCCGACTGAATGCTTTTCGTAAGCATAAGCCACCTACCTTTGATGGATCTTATGATCTTATTGCTGCGGCGCGTTGGCTACAGGCGTTGGACAAGATTTTTCGGGTCATGCAGTGTACTGATTCGCAGAAGCTGATGTTCACTACCTACATGCTAGAGGGCGATGCCCATGAGTGGTGGACGAACACTTCTCATGTTTACGAGATGCAGGGCCATGTGATGACTTGGCCATTCTTCGAGGATTGTTTTCTGGGTCACTACTTCCCTTATGACGCACAGGAGAGGAAGCAGGGGGAGTTTGACAGGTTGGTTCAGGGCTCGTTGTCTGTTGCCGAGTACCTGGCCAAGTTCAACCAGCTGGTGAAGTTTTCACACTTTCGGATGGCGAGGCCTACTCCGACATTCTTGGCTGTTAAGTTCCGCAGGGGACTTAATGAGGATATTGCTGGTTACCTTGCTGGTTCTGCTTCTAGAGACTTTGGGACACTGGTACAACAATGTCGGGATATTGAGGACTTCTACAGCTCGAGTAAGGCCAAGATGGCCAAGGTTGCTGAGGCGACGAAGGTAGCTGGTAGTTCCACTTCTTGGAGAGACAGGAAGTTTAGGAACAAGGGCAAGGGAAAGCAGTTGGCGGCTCGACAAGCGTTGAGTCAATTTAAGAAGACTCATTTTGCTTTCAATGTGGCAAGGAGGGCCATTTCTCTAGAGATTGTCTGTCGTCGACGGCAAGAGCTACTGCAGTGCAGGCAGCGCCACTTCAGATGGTTCCCCTTCCACCTACTTTGGCACCGGCAGTGCCACCGTCTTCTGGGCGTGTTTATTCCCTGGATCGTCATCAGTCGGATCGAGCTCCGAACCTATTCAGAGGTACTGCTACTATTGGTGCATCATCTGTTGATGTCTTGTTTGACTCTGGGGCTACACATTCTTTTGTTGCAACCCCGATTGCTGTGGGGCTTGAGTTGCCTATGTCTGTGCTTTCTCCACCGTTGCGGGTGACCGCCGCCACCGGAGAAAAGTGTGATTCTACCACTGTACATCGAGATGTCGTGTTTCAGTGGGATGGCCGTGAGTATTCGGTAGA